TGGCCTCAATCTCCAACCTCTTTTTTTCCTTTCTAGTTTCAACTTCAGCTTCATTCTGCTCTCCACACCACTCGTCTGTGTGTATTCCCAATTTCTCTTATTTTTTTTTGCTATTTTTATGTTCAGTTTTTCATCTGCCTTTTGAAATACCTCCTATCTTTTCACCTGCTGAGTCATCACTTTTTTTTTTTTGGCAAGTCATATCTTGCTCTTTCTGCCAAATCATTGGCCACAAAAAATGCTCACAAATGTATGGGTATGAGCCAATGAGCCAAAAGCATACTTGCGGTGGCTCTCTTGGCATTTTAGTTCCTAATCCTTTGCTAAAAGGTGCGAAAATGTCTTTATTAGTTTTTGTGACAACAAAAAAAAAGTAGATTGGAATGAAATGCGGGTCATTCGCATATTCTAATATATATTGGTTTGTAAAGTAATATAAATAAGGGCATAATTCGAAAGTTCATTTATATNAAAAAAGTAGATTGGAATGAAATGCGGGTCATTCGCATATTCAAATATATATTGGTTTGTAAAGTAATATAAATAAGGGCATAATTCGAAAGTTCATTTATATTGTATATTGTTTTTATTTTTCTTTCCTTTTTAACTTTTTTCCTTTATTTCCTCTTTTCTTTTATTTTTTTATCTATTTTTAGTTTATTTTTTTTTATTGATTTTTTTTCTTAAATTCCAATTCTTTTACACTGGAAAAGCCTTAAATCGTTTATTTCCTTTTATCTTAAATTTTCTACGATTCCATTCTGTACGTATTTAAAGACTACTATTTTCTTTAATAAAAAATATTTCCTTAAAAATTATTATGCAGTACTTTGGAGCGCATTAAACTGCGCTGTAACATGGCCAAGGTTAACACAACCATTTCCACTATTTTCCTTTTTTTGTATAGAACGTATTTCTCAATCCACAATGTGGAATTGCCGAAGCTCTGAAGCATTCTTACACGCTCAACTGGCGCCATAATTCAAAGCAGACTCAAAAGGCAGGCAGCTTTTTGTGTAAAGGTTTTTGTTTTATTGCAAAGAATACACCTGAAAATTGAATTTATACATACATATATAGGGTTTTATAAAGGACACCCAGTAGGAAAAAGATTGACCACATAATTTGGTAAAATAAACTTCTAAAATAGTTGCTAACTTCTAGTACTTCTCTAAAAATAAAAATAAATGATAAAAAAAAATTATTTAATAAAAATAGATAATAAAATATAAACAAATTTAAATAAGAAAAAAATTAAAATCAAAAGTAAAAATAAATATGTAAATGAAAATAAATAAAATATGAAAATACTAAAAATTAACACATAAATAATAAAAAAGGTATTATAAAATAGTAGTAAAAGATAAATACATAAAATAATAAATATAAATTTAAATTAAATTTGAAGTCAAAATTAAAAATAAAATTATATTAAAATCAAAATAACAAAAAGTTAATACTAAATATGAAAATAAAAATAAAAATTAAAATAAAGAAAAACGAAAATGGATAAAAAAATGTATGCAAAAGTTGTAATAATTGTAAAACCAAAATAAGAACTTAAAATTAAAACTAAATAAACAAAATCCCAATAAATACTAATATTACAAATGAATGTATATTGAAACATAAATAAATATAAATTAAAAATAAAAATAGATGTGGAAGTAAAAATTAATATAAAATAAAATATAAAAATAATACTAAAAATAAAAGCAGAAATCAACTTTAAAATAAAAAATTAAAATAAAAGTTAAAGCGAAGGATTTAAAATTAAAATTAAAAACCAAACAAAATGATAACGAAAGTACAAATAAAAAGTATAAAAATAAAAACAAAAGAAGTTAAAATCAAAATGAACGGTAGAAATGAATAAATGAAAATTAAAAATAAAAATAAAAAAATAAAAATTAAAATAAAAATAAGAAATAAGAAATAAAAATAAAAATTTAAAATAAAATATTTAATAAAATATTAAGCAAATTGAAAAACAAAAATTTAATAAAAATAAAAAAATAAAAATAAAAAAATAAAAATAAAAATATAAAAATAAAAATATAAAAATAAAAAAATAAAAATAAAAAAATAAAAATATGAAAATAAAAATAAAAGCAAAAATCAATTTTAAAATAAAAAATTCAAATAAAATTAAAAGTGTAGAATTAAAAATAAAAATAAAAATCCAAACAAAATGATAACGAAAATACAAATAAAAAGTATTAAAATAAAAATCAAATAAGTTAAAATAAGAATGAACGGTAGAAATGAAATAAAGAATAAATGAAAATTAAAAAGGAAAAAAAATAAATAAAATGAAAAATAAGAAATAAAAATAAAAGTAAAAATAAAAAAATAAAAATAAGATATATAAATAATAATTATAATAAAAAGACAAAAAATACAAGTAAAAATTATAAATAATAATAATAATGAAAAAATAAAAATAAGAGAAGAGAAAAAAAAATAAAAATAAAAGTAAAAATAAAAAAATAAAAATAAAAATAAAAATAAAAAATATAAATAATAATAATAATAAAAATAGAAAATAAAAAATAAATAGAATAAAAAATAAATCAAACTAAAAACTAAAAAAAATATAAAAGTAAACAATAAAATTAAAATGAAAGTATATTTTTTTCTTGCAATAAATATTCCCAATAGGCATGCAAAATTTTTTTGATAATCTTTTGATGAACGTGCATATTTAGTAAGGAGTTGACTTTTTACAACTGCGTAACAATAAAATGCTTTTAATGGATTTTGCGTAACATTGAATGAAAAAGAATGTGCAAAGAATTTTATTTAAATATGTATATCGAAAAACTTTATATATATGTATGTATTATATTTTTCGTGAAAATTACAATAAGCTAAATTTATTCAACAAAAAATTTATCTGCCAAATTTCATTAAATTTAAAAAAAAACTGCTATTCAAGATTTTTTAGACTAGATTTCAAGTACAACAAAAATGCACCTCAAATTATGTTAAGCAATATATATATTATTATTTATTTAATTAACTGTTTTAATATAAATTATTTCAGTTTTCATGTCTTATTTTCGCTTTTTTTTATTTAATATTTTAATTATTATTTTTATTTTCTCTTTTTTTATTTAATATTTTAATTATTATTTTTATTTATTTTTTAATATTTTTTAATTACTTAGAAATAAAAAGTATCAAATAAACTTTTTATTTCTTATTTATTTATATTTATTTGTTTAATCGTAATTAGTTTTCATTTTTATTTTGTATTTATTTAATTTCTTAATTTAAATGTGATTTAATATTTTATTTTTTTTAATCATTTTATTATGTGTTTTATTCTCTTGTTATTCTTTTGTATATTTCTTTATTCATTTATTAATTGAGTTACTTTTTGTTTATTTGTTTCTTTTATTGTATTTTTAATTATTTCATTATTCATTTTTATTTATTTATTTGTTTTTTTTTTTTTTTTTTTTTTTTGTTAAATGTCTTATATTTTTTATTTATTTATTCATTTATTTATTTCTATTTACTTAATATAATTTATTTATTTATGAATAAATTTACTTTTTACTATCTTTTGTTTTATTTAAAATTAGTGCATTATTTATAAATTTGTTTATTATTTTATTTTTTTTTACTATTTTTTAATATTTTTCCTTTAATTATTTATCATTTGTTTATCTAGTTTTTTTCTTATTTATTTATTTTTTATTTCTTTATTTATTTCTTTATTTATTTTTTTTATTTCTTTTCTATTTTTTATTTTGTTGCTCTTTTATTTATCTCTATCTACTTAATATAATTTATTTATTTATTGATAAATTTACTTGTTATTATCTTTTATTTTTTTATTTTTTTTTTATTTTCTATTTCATTATTTATCTTTTGTTTATTTAATTTTTTATATATTTATTTTTTTTTATTTTTTTTTATTATTTTAACATTTTCGTTTTCATTATTTATCGTTTGTTTATTAGTTTTTTTAATTTATATTTTTATTTATTTTTTTTTATTTATTTTTTTTTATTTATTTTTTTTTTATTTATTATTTATTTATTTACTAACAAACAGTTTACCTTTCATTATGTTAATTGTGGTAAAATATATTTANTAGTTCATATATACGAGTACATATATATTTACATACAATACTTGCATGGTATCTGCATACTTGTAAACAAAGCAAATGCATGCAAAATGTAAGTACAAAAAAGTCTGAGAAATATGAACGCTTTCACACCTGCTCTGCCATTTTAATATTGCATACACAATATTTTAAGTGTTGCAATTCATTATAAAGGTGCCTAAATACGTACATATATACAGCGGAAAATTTATTTCCACTCTTACGCCTCTGTTATGGTAAACTATAAACAAATGTGGCAGTTTTTTGTAATACAAAATTTCAGAGTATTTGCAGAAATATTACAAAAAAATTTATATGTTTGAATTCACAAAAAAAAAAATCATAAAAAAACCATAAAAATATATATGTATGTATATTTGCATATAAAACATAAATTGTTGATATGAAAAAGCATATTTTTCCAACACATTTATTTTCATAATTGCTTGTGGTGGGTGTTGAAATAAAAGGTAGTACTATTGTGTGTGTGCGTGTGTATGTCTGTATCGCTTATCAAGCGCATAAAGCAACAATTTTTTATATTGCGTAATTTTTGCTTCAGTCAGAACATTAATCATAAAAATATGCCTGGAAGTGAGCATAAGTTTATTTGAATTTTCGCATAAATCCCAAGTTTTTTTCTTATTTTGGCAGCAAAACAAAACAGTGGAAGTATATAAATGTATTAAATATATATTCAATTGTATAATAGTGGAAGAACATTTAAAGGGATTTTTTTTTAATATTCTGATCTACTGCATTAAAAAAATATTTCGAAAGTTCTGAAAATACATATAAGTATAAATATTTCTAAATAATAAAAAATAGTCAATATAAAAAGTACTACGAAAAACCATTTTTTTTCCTTATTTCCTTACAGCCACTGAAATTCGCTGCCAGGAGAAATCGCGCGGCGGTCTCAGCTATGAAGTAATCCTAGCCGAACCAGCACCGAATGTAGTGGTGCCCAAGCGTCCAGTGACACCTGGTAAAAATGTCTCTGCCGAGGAGATCGAGCAAAAGCTGAAAGCAGCTGAAGAGCGACGCATTGTAAGTGCAATTAAAATGAGTAANTGATAAAAAAAAATTATTTAATAAAAATAGATAATAAAATATAAACAAATTTAAATGAAAAAAAAAAATTAAAATGAAAAGTAAAAATAAATGAAAATATATAAAATATGAAAAAAAAAAAAATTAACACATAAATAATAAAAAAGGTATTATAAAATAGTAGAAAAAAAAAAATAAATAAAATAATAAATATAAATGTAAATTAAATTTGAAGTCAAAAAAAAAAATAAAATTATATTAAAATCAAAATAACAAAAATTAATAGTAAAAAAAAAAAAAAGTTAATATGAAAATAAAAATTAAAATTCAAATAATGAAAAACAAAAAAAAAAAAAAAAAAATTAATGCAAACGTTATAATAATTGTAAAACTAAAAAAAAAAAAAAAAATTAAAATTAAATAAACAAAAAAGTAATAAAATGAAAATTAAAAAAAAAAATCAAAATCGCAATAAATACTAATATTACAAATGAATGTATATAAAAAAAAAAATGTGAAAATAAAAATTAATATAAATTGAAATATAAAAGTAATAAAAAAAAAAAAAGCAAAAATCAATTTTAAAATAAAAAATTCAAATAAAAGTAAAAAAAAAAAATTAAAAATTAAAATAAAAAACCAAAAAAAAAGTTTACGAAAAAAAAAAAAAAAAAGTGTAAAAATAAAAACCAAATAAGTTAAAATAAAAATGAAAAAAAAAAAAAAATAAATGAAAATTAAAAATAAAAATAAAGATAAGAAATAGAAAAAAAAAAAAAAAATAAAAAACAAGAAATAAGAAATAAAAATATAAACTAAAAAAAAAAAAAAGAATAAAATATAAAGCAAATTGAAAAATAAAAATAAAAGAAAAAAAAAAAAAAAAAATAAAAGTAAAAATAAAAAAAAAAATAAAAGTAAAAATAAAAAAAAAAAAATAATAAAGGAAATTGAAAAAAAAATTAAATAAAAAAAAATAAAAAAAAAAAAAAATAAATAAACAAAATTAAAAATAAAAAATTAAAATTAAAAAAAAAAAAAAAAATTAAAAATTAAAATAAAAATCCAAACAAATTGATAACGAAAAAAAAAAAAAAAAAGTATAAAAATAAAAATGAACGGTAGAAATGAAATAAAAAAAAAAAAAAAATTAGAAATTAAAATAAGAATAGAAAATAAGAAATAAAAATAAAAAAAAAAAATAATAATAGCATAAAATATAAAGCAAATTAAAAAAAAATAATAAAAAAAAAAAAAATAAAATAAAAATAAAAAAAATAAATAAAAAAATAAAAAAAAAAAAAAAAATAAAAAAAAATAAATAAAAAAATAAAAATAAAAGCAAAAATCAAAAAAAAAAAAAAAAATTCAAATAAAAGTAAACGTAAAGAATTAAAAATTAAAAAAAAAAAAAAAGCAAAATGATAACGAAAAGTACAAATAAAAAGTATAAAAAAAAAAAAAAAATAAGTTAAAATAAAAATGAACGGTAGAAATGAATAAATGAAAAAAAAAAAAAATAATAAAGATAAGAAATAGAAATAAAAAATAAAAATAAAAAAAAAAAAAAAAAAAATAAAAATAAAAACTAAAGATAAAAAATAGAATAAAATATAAAAAAAAAAAAAAAATAAAAATAAAATAAAAGAAAAAAATAAAAATAAAAGTAAAAAAAAAAAAAATAAAAATAAAAGTAAAAATAAAAAAATAAAAATAAAAGTAAAAAAAAAAAATAGTAATAATAATAAAAAAATAATAAAAATAGAAAATAAAAAAAAAAAAAAATAAAAAATAAATAAAATAAAAAATAAATCAAAAAAAAAATATAAAAAAAAAAAATAAAATTAAAATGAAAGTATTAAAAAAGGGAGATAAAATTTATTATAACAGCAAAAATCCCAAAGATAGAAATAAAAATAAGAATATGATAATAAATTAAATAAATTTTCTCCCAACAGTCTTTGGAGCAAAAGAAAATGGCCGATTTATCCTACAAATTATCGAAAATCGAAGAAGCCACACGTAAAAAGGATGAAATCACCAATGAGTTCATCAATCAGACTAAGGAAAAGTTAGAAACCAAAATCGAACAACATGTTGAGAAGCGTGAAGCCATCATTAGTGACATGAAAGAGAAATTGAAGGTATTATATATAGAGAGTGTACTTAAAATATTGCCATATTTGTTTTTCAAAAATTTATTCATACCTATATAGATTCACTCACAAGAAATTGAGAAGACACGCGAACAATTGGAACAACAAAAATCGATTGAAAAAGTTGCTATTGAGGAGAAATTGAAGACGGCTCAGACTTTGCGAGATGAGAATATTAAAAAGATGCTGGAACGTCTTAAGGAGCATGTAAGTAGTGCTACAAGAAATTGTTATATGTTGAATTCGAATTTATAAAATTTTCAACACGCAAATCATTTTCATACTAACCAAAAAATAAAAATAAAACACTTTCCTCTATAAAAAAAAACGAAATCCCCCACCAAGTAAAGCCCAAATAAATAGATTTTTTAATCTAAATTAAAGCCATTAAATACATCACTTTACACACTTGTACGTATGTATATAAATAATTTTTGGAATTTTAACTTTTTTTTGAAATATTGAAGAAATCTGTATTTACTTTTAAATACTATGTAGACAAGTTTTTGAACATTAAAAATAGTTTCAGTTCACCTAGTTTACTTTTATATGTAAATAATCAACTTTTTAATTAAAAAAAAATAACCACAATTACCTAGTATGTAAATAAATTAAATTTAATGATTGCATTTTTGTTTTTGTTCCTTTTTATGCATCTATTTTTAATAATTTTTGCGAAAACAAAAAGAAAATAACAAATTACAATTGCACATTGAACTCCAAGCACAGCGGTATACGAGTATCAAACAATTTTGAAAAAATATCAATACAAGAAATAAAAAAATATATTAGAAAAAATATCAAAAAGGAATATAAAAAATACAAAATAATATAAAAAAAGTTACAAAAAATATAAGAAATTTAAAAACATATAAAAAGTATTAAAAAAATATTAAAAAAATATTTAAAAAAAAATATAAAAATAATATAAAAAAAATATAAAAAATATTTAAAAAAAATATAGGAAAAAATATAAATATAATATAAAAAATATAAAAATTATTANATTTTTGTTTGCACTTGAAATCGGGCACGAACTTATGCACTCATCCAATAACACTTCCTGAACAGACCAAGAATTTTTTTTTTTAATTCTTTCAATTATATAATTTTTGCACCAAAAAAGTCTGCAAATTTTGATTTTGTTTTTTGTGCACCAACAACGGATTGGCATGTATACCACTCTTTCGTACCATCTCCATTGTTTAAACCCCTCGCAACTACTTACTAACACAAATTTTGCTAAGTAAAAATTTATTTAAAAAAAAATTCTAAGAAATAATTAATGAAGCATTATTAATATCATTGCGTTTTCATGCATTTTTCTTTACCACCTACTGACTGCATTTGTATATGTATTCATTTATAGAACACAAATAAGAAAAATCAAATCGACCAATTGGAAACACAAAAACTTGAGGAGAAGACCCGCATTATTGAAAATAAATTATACACCGCCGAGCAAAATCGCGAGAAGGAGTTACAAAAGAAAATTGAGAAAGTTCAAAAACTTGTAGGTGTCACCCATTCGTCTCTAACAATCACACACACACACATACATTTTCTATCTAAGCAACTAATTCGTGTATCATTAACGGAACTTGTTTGTTTGTGTGCATTTAAACAATATTTTAATTTTGTTTCCTTTTTTTTTGTGCTTTAGTTTTATGGCTTTATTTAATTGTAGTTAAATATAAATACATTTTTTGTAATATAAATTTAAATGTAATATATATTATATGTGAGTTATATACGTATTAGCTCTTGGTGAATATTTAAAATTTATTTATGCATTTCTAGTATAGTTTTTGTTGTATATAAAGTGCTTTAAATATATGTAGCTCTGCAGTTTTTTGCCAAAGTTATAAAAGTAAAAAGATTTTACCATAATATATAAACATTACTATTATTATTATTTGTTCTGTTTTTATTATTGCGAGTATATTTCGTTATATTGGTTAATTTAATCTATTATTTCTGTTTTTAAATCATTTTATTTTTATGAAATTAATTTTTTTAATAAAGGGTAGGTTGTTGTTGTTGTAGCGGTTGTATGTCAATCAGTCATAATTCATAGAGGACATCTAACAAATCCTCTGAAGAAAAGAAGCGTTTAACTAAACTTATTGTAAGCTCTAAAATCGCCTTATTTTCGTATAAAAATTGTATGAGTACCGGGTCATAGTGGAATTGAAAAGTCAGGCAAGCTCCCTTAAATCCCAAAATCGAAACTATCAAACATAATGTAAGACTTCAGATTTTCGGGTTCCGCACTGGCAGAGTTCTCTATAAGAACATAGGGAATGTTCCGCTTTTGCGTGGCTGAGATAGATGAACTATAGAATACAACGGTGTGTACCAAAAATAACCAAACTTTTTGGTTATAAAATAAAATACACATTATATTATCTTTGAAAGTTTTTATTTATTCAAAATAGGTTCCATTTGACTCAACACAACGTTTGGAACGATCAACCAGCGCATGCTTAGTTTTATTTATGTCATTTATAGAAATGTTCTTCAGTACCTCGGTTACGGCTGCTTGAATGGCTGGGATATCATCTATAAAATGCTCCCTTCATCTTGATTTTCAGTTTTGGAAATAAAAAATAGTCACATGGTGATAGATCAGGCGAATACGGAGGTTGGTCGATGAGAGAAATCCCTTTTTTCATTAAAAATTCGAGCGATTTTTTGGTCGTCATTTAATTCATGTGGAACAAATCGAGCCACAGACCTTTCTTTCCTCAGCCAATATTCTCGTAGTAAAATTTGCATCTCTACCAATCATTTCACGGACCTTTTCCACCAGTTCAGCACGATTACTAGTTGCTGGACGTCCTGCTCTAGGGTCGTCATTTAAATCCTCACGACCATTTTTAAATCGTGTAAATTGCGTATAAACTTGCGTACGACTCATACAATCATCACAATAAATTTTTTTCATTAATTTTTTTCAAGTTTGACACAAAATTTTATATTTGCTCTTTGTTCCATTTTATTTTTGAACCGACTTACATGATGTTAGGTGCGTTTGAAAGAGGATGAATGTATCTTTTTAATGTTGCAAATGTTGTATGATTTAAATATGAAGTTCTGTTATTTTTGGGACACACTGTATGTATTTTTTTTATATATAAGATAGTATTTTATTATCTTATTTAATTTACAATTTTTTTTATTTTTATTCTTTTAAATTATTTTGTTGTATTTTTTATCATTTAATAAATTAATTTAATATTTTTTTAATTCTACTTAGTTTATCTTTTACTATTTTATATTACTCTAATTTTTTTTAATAAACTTATTTTTTTATTCAATTTCATTTGTTTTTTATTTATTTCATTTTATTTTTAATTAATTTTTTACCTTATATTTTATTTTTATAATTCTTTTTTTGTTTTATTTCTATAATTCTTTGTTTTTTATTTCACTTTCATATTTCTTTTTTTTTTAATTTTATTCGTTTCTATTTTTTATTTTCCATTTCTTTATTTTTATTTTATTTTGCTTAAATTTTTCAAGTAATTTTTAGTTTCTTTCATTACATTGTTATTTTATTTCATCTTATTTATATCTAATTTTTTACCTTTTGTTTTATTTTATTTTTATTATTTTTATAGCCTTTTATTATTATGCTTATTCTATTTTATTCGTTTCTAGTTTTTTTTGTTTTTTATATTATGTTAAAAATTTCAATTACTTTTAATTTTATTTTATTTAGTTTATTTCAATCCATTTTATTTTATTTATTACAAAATATAATAAATTTGAGTTTTTTTATCTTATTTTATTTTATTTTGTTTTATTTTATTTTATTTTATTTTATTTTATTTTATTTTATTTTATTTTATTTTATTTTTTATTTATTCTTTTTGACTTCATTTGATTTTTAATTTTTTTTTTTGTTCTATTTTATTTTTTTAATTCTTTTTTATTTATTTATTTTATATTTTGTTTATTTTATTATGTTCTCTTGTTCATTTTTATTTATCTATTTTTCTTTGTTGTCTTTATTTTTTATTTTCTTTTTAATTTTTATGTTTTTTAATTTAGTATATATAAAACTTTAATTCGAGATTTACTTATTCTTAGCGACTTCTCCGCGTCGTAAAATGACAATTGATAGTGTTTATTTTGCAAAAATATTATATGTAAAATAATTTCCCAATTCTCAATAAATTAATTGCCCATAATACCCCATAAAATTTTCCTTTTTCATTTCTCCGCCGCAGGAACGTCGCGCTGAAGTGGTGCGTCAAAATAAGGCGGCCCAGCAACCGATTTGTGATGAAAACAACACAGCTATCGCCTCATCTGGTTAGAGCGTCAAACTATAGCAACAACAAGAAAAAGAGATAGCAACACAACAACAATAATATTTATAAAAACTAACACTGCACACCACATACATAGAAACAACAACAAAGACGACCAGATTAAGCGCTAAATAAAATGATATAACAGCAACAACAGGAGCTTTGCCGTGTGAATACAAAACAACTATGCATGTACACACGTACATCTATGCAAGGGGATTCCAACTTGAAGGAGCGAATAGGTGAAGGAGTTAAAATTGTGAAGTGTTTTCGAATTTGGCGCAGCTGAAACCACGAAAAAATGTCAACATTTGAGGCGCGTCATAACGAAGGTTCGAGTTGAAAATAGATGTTGCACAACATACATAAATGATATTTAAAAAGTCTATATACATATAAAGAACGTAACGAGTATAACTACAAAAGTTGAAAAAAAGAAAAAATGAAAAACTTAAAAAAAAATATATACAAATTATTAAATAATGAAGCGTTTTCACATCACTCTTGCATATAGAAAGAAGAAAAAACAATAAAAAAATATATTTAATAATTATAAGCAAAAGCCGTAAAGCAAATGGAAAACAAACTGCAAAGAACCGTAAATCAACACTCGATAAAATGCAAATTCAGCAGAAAAATATAACACACTTTATAAATTATAACAATTATAAATAATATATAATTAAAAAAACAAAATGAATGAATGGTCTGCAGCAAAACATACATACATACATACATAGAAACACACTTTACTATTCGAAGAAAAATGAAGCAAAAGCGAAATCATATGCATTTAACGCATTAAAAATATACATATATTCCCATTATTATTCTCATCATTATTATTATTATTATTATCATTATAGATTAAAACTAAAATTAAAATTATATTTGTATTATTATTATTACAATTTTAATTAATTAACAGATTTATTGATTGATTAATGTACTATGTTTCTCAATTAAGTCACATTTTATAAGTATATTTCTAATTCAAAATAAAGAGAATGCGTATAAAAAAATATGAAATTAAATTATTTGTAACACAAACACACACATATACATATGTAAGTGGCGCCAGCGCACTTTTTTCAAATATTCAAACAAATACTCTCTCTATTTAATAAATATAATCGCAATAAAAAGCAAACAACAGCTAAACAGAAAAGCAACAAAACGAGCAAGAAAAGATTAAATAAATAACTAAAGGAAAAAAGATAAGCAAGAAAAAAAAATATTCGAAATTTATTAAAAGCGGAAAATGTAAACACACAAAAACCAACAAATAAACAAAGATAAAACAAAAACAATATTAAAATGCCGTTCGAAATGGGTCCAATGGAGGGATTTTTTGTAACTAAATAGATATCGATGAATTTGATGGAGGAGAAATATGAAAATTAATACATATATATATATATATATATGTACTGGGGTTTAAATGATTTTCAACGACTTGCGCATATTGTATATGGGTTTGCTGCAAAATTCATTTTGTCTTATATAGTACATACATACACTACAACATAGTATTTGTCTCTCTGTGTGTAAAGCCATGTATTGTATTTGTAATAACCACAAAAAAAAAAAAAACAGAAAATAAACTAAAAGCAACATATAGTATTTGTAAAAGAAAAACATAAATTCTCAAATTTTTGGTTGAGAAAAGCAAAAGAAAAAAGTTTGAAGAACGTGTATTTAGAAATTATTTTTTCAAACATAATAAAAGTTACATTAATATAATTTCGATTTTAGGTTTTTCCAAAATTATCATTTGCATTGATATCAACAAAAAAGAAAAACCATTCTTTAAATAACTCAAACTCAAAACATATAAAAACTTCAAAAAAAAAAAATATCCATACAGCACAACCAATTTCGCTTTCAAGCAAAGAGTTAAAGAGAAAATTGAAATATTTGCATGCTAATAAAACTTTATGTTTCGTCTTCTACATATATATGAAATTTAAAAATTCATAAGAATTAAAAAAAAAACTTCTTTACCTGCCCTTTTCGTTTTCGTATTGTTATTAAATGCGCTTAAAAATACATAGAAACAGCTCATTGCTTGTTAGCCTTCACTTTGCTCACATATACTCGTATATATTAACATTTTCGTAACACTTGTATTTCTTATTTACGACAACTGTATATGTAATTAATGTTTTACTTTAAGTTATCTACATTTTTTCACAATTAAAACCTTTTCTAAGCAAATATGAAATAAAAAAAATCAAAGTAAATAAAAAAAATTAACATTTAAAACCCCAAACCAATATAACCTGCTTGTATTAAAAAAAAAACATTAAACATTGTGAAAAAGAAAAAAAAATTAATAAAATTATAGAAAATACTAAAATAAATGTCTTTCATTTTGAACAAAATAACTTACGTAGGGGCTTAGTGAAAGGAAAGAGACCCTTTTTTATATTTGAATTGGTACAGGATATGTGTGAATTGTATAAATTTTCCGTTTTTGATTTTCAAATTATACCTTTTTAAATCGGGTTAGGTGAGTCTCCGTGGGGTATCCTATCAGACTTGCATTGAAAGCAACATAATCGTGTTCTGTAATCCGATCGCATTTAATTTCCCCGAAATAACGCCCCTTACGATATCTGGTAATTTCCTTTAGTTCAAAATCTCGCTAACTTCTCCACAGAGATTGCGAGATGTTTCATAACTCGTCGCATACAAATTGTAACTATTTCGGTTTTCGGCACATGCCATATCGTGTAATATTTTAAAATGAAAACAGAAGCATAAAGTTCAGCTCGTTACGTATGAAAATATCGTGCGGAAGTGATTTTCAGTACCGGCCCGTATATAATATTTCAAAGTTTTCCAACTTATATGTGTATGAGACCCACTCATAAATAATACGAGCCCCAACGGTCAAAACTAAAAATTATAGATTACAAAAATTACGTTAATCATAGTAACGTTATTTAAATTTTTTACGACAATCGATTGTGCTTTTTGCGGACCAGACCCTATTGAACTATTACGAAAATTGCAAGCTGAACGCATAATTTGTATTTATTCTTTTAAATGCACTATTGCTAATATAATAGAAATAGAAAATAACTGTAGTTCTGTCAAGAACGGAAAGAATCGTTCACAATAAACCATTTCCAATTGGCAACAAACAAATTTGTAGGTTAACACACGAGTTGACATCTCAGTTTGCACACCGACTTGTTATAAACAAAAGTTTTTGATAGTAAAAAATAAACAAAATGGAAGATGAGGATATTGGATTATCTGCAGATACACTAGAAATACTCAACGAATTTCTGCAAGAAAAAGCTCAGAGGGAACGTGATGAAATGGAGCGCATTGAAAATAGAGCCGGTACCAATGCCATGTTCGAAGAGGATTGGGTTAGTTCTAATAGAAAAAGTGCAATTTATGTATTAACTCACAATCATTACATTGCAATATATCCAGCAACTGAGCCAATTTTGGTACAGTGAATCAACAAAAGTAGCGCTTGGAAAGTTGGTGAGCAAACTTCTAGCTGAAAAGCCGAATGTGACTAAGGAGAGCTACCACATTGCACTTCTCTCCTGCCCATCATTGTTTGGCACAGTCAAGCAAATCCACAATAAAGGTAACTACCCTATTTTTAATAGTGGTCATTCAATTCACTTATATATGATTCCCTGTTTAATAGTGAAAATCTTCGAGTTCGATAAACGCTTTTCAGCGTATGGCGACAATTTCGTATTTTATGATTTCAACAAAGCTGATGAAGATGATTACCTGCTAGAATTTAAGGAAACTTTTGATCTTATCATAGCCGACCCTCCATTTTTGTCCGAGGAATGCATAACCAAAATATCTAAAATCATAAAGAATTTACAAAAGTTCGAGGCAAAAATTGTATTTTGCTCTGGTGCTGTTGTAGAACCATGGATCACTAAATGTTTACAGCTGAAAAAATGTCGTTTTGAACCGGCACATGACCGTAATTTGGGCAATGAATTTGTTTCTTACGCGAACTTCAATCTAGACACTTATTTAAGTTAATAGTTTCTATATTTTTATGAAATAACATTAACGGGGTGCTTACGCATTAACTAAAACAAAAATAAGCAAACAAGGTTCTGTGCCAGGCGTACCCTGTTTGGCCCGATAAGGTTCCACGTGAATGTGAATAACAGTTATACACAAAGCTACTGCGTTAATACATAATTTCCATTACTGTTATATGTACGTATTCATAAGCTTTTGCAATTGAATGAGTCTGGCACTTATATCTGGTATCGTAAAGTGAGAAAGATGTTTATATTTTGCAATAATTTGTTAATAAATTAGGTCATCTTAATTTAAAGTTTTTCATTTTGACGCCGCATCTGCTTCTTTACGTTGTTGCACCAATTCACGCAAACCGTCTTCTTGATCCTTCAAAGACTTGACTAAGAATTCTTTTTTCTTATTGAGCAGCTCTATAGCTTTATCACATTTTTCTTGTTTAGCTTTGAGGTCGGAGCGCATGTGGTCCACATCGGTTAGGACAAACATACGTCCAACGGAAAGGTATACTCTGGAAAGAAATGTTGTATTAGATGAGGAATATATGCATATTGTACTGTTTTCTTTAATATTTCCTAAAGAAATTGTATGCAGAATACGGTTCATACCTGGTGTCATCTTTGAGATCACTGGTGCCCTTCTCGGTCAATTCGTATTTTTGTTTACCATTTTTCACCATACTGCATTTCATATCGATCATATTCATTTTTTTGGTGGTCTCAATTTTATTAATTTGCATTTCGGTGAATGCCTGAATAAAGATCAATGGAAATTAGTGAATCACGTTCTGAAGCTGCAGCAGTTCTTTGCAAAGTTGAAATTTAAGAAGTTTGAAAGTACAAACCTTTTTCAGTTCCATATCCATTTGAGCCATTTTATGTTCGTTGTTCCTTTTTACTATTGACTTCAGTAATATTTATTTATTAAAACGTGATATTTTAATGAAAAGTGCTCCACCTGCGAAATTTATACCTTTAATATACTAAAATAAATGCAATCTCTTCTTTTTGCTGGACATTCACAATAGAATGTGTCAAACGAACTATGCAGCCATATCGCCGTGAGTGTGATCAGAGATGTTATTACTCTAGACTTGCCCATATCCGCTGAGGTAGTCAAATTTTTATTAAGTTGATTCATTTATAAACATTTTCAAATTTTGTTCATAAATTAGCTTTTTGAGGAATTTTTTTCTCGCAACTCTTCCATTTTGCGGCCCAGTAGATTTACATTTAATCTGTGCATACAAAGAAATTGCCCATTGAGGAAAAGTACTGGAATGTCGAGACGATAAAGACGTAAGAATCGCAAGTTCTCCTTTTTTGTGATATCCACTTTTTCCAGCGTATATTGGCCATTGAAATAAATTTCAAGCTCATTGAGTAGCTCGTCACATAGTGTACAGTCGTCCTTAGTATACAATGTTAAATGTGGCAGTTTGTTGCTCGCTTGCTCCTCGTCATATGCACTACAATATAAAATCTAAAAAAATTTGATTTACATAATTAAAAAATATACTCACATTTTTTCCAATAATATTGCCGAAGCATTACCAGTTTCATTAGCTATTGCTGCACATCCTATTTGACCCGGCTGCAGGGCATGTGTTAAGTGCGTGACCAAACGTGCGCCTGACATAGCTATGGGATTACCCAGACATTTGGAACCACCGTGTGCATTAACTTTTAATGGATTTAATTCCAACTCTTTAATTATCGCTAATGGCACAGCGGAATTTGAATCATGAAGTTCCCATAATGAAATATCCTCCGTGTTATAGTGCGTATGCTGGAGAAGACGTTTAACAACTATATTTAGCGCTTTTAAGAAATCCTGTTGATTTGTTTTCGATTCATTGAACGCTATTATTCGCGCTAATGGCTTCAAATTCCAACGCATGGCCATTTCGCATGTTGTAAGCACTAAAGCGGCAGCACCGTCACCCAAAACAAGTCCTTTATACTGGTCAACATTTTCCAGTTCATTCAATGCGCTTGGTAAAGGACGCTGTTCATCTTCAGATACAGTAATTGGTGTTCTAGATGCCAGCATTATACGTAACGGCACTAGTTCTAGGTCAAAATATCCATCCCGTGCTGCTTTACGCATACGACTGTAAGATTCTTTCGTATAGTTAATACATTCTTCTTTGGTTATGCCAAAATTGTTTTTAATCGGAATATCCGTCACGCCATCTACAACCAAGCCATCCTGCATAGATATATTGCCGCTTTTGACTATTGTTCTCGGCATATAATATGGCACATTTGATAAACATTCCATGCCGCCTGCTATAGCGGCATCAGCTAAACGCAGTTTAACAGCTTGTGCCGCAAACATTATCGTTTTAATGCCAGTCACACTCGACGCGCTAACCGTTGTACAACATACACGCTTCGATAAGCCGGCTAAAAGTGTAGCTTGGCGTGCAGGCGCTTGTCCTACACCAGCCGCCAAAACATTACCAAAATATACTTGTTGCACAGCTTCCGGCGGAACAGCAGATTGCTTGAGAGCCGCATCTATAGCCACAGCGCCTAACTTGGTTACTGGCAGGGCAGGATGGTGGCCGCTGAAGCCGGTAATTGGCGTGCGTACCGCAGATGCAATCACCACATCGCTTAAATCATAGCGAGCGAGATCAGAGAGTTGTTTTGTGAAATTGCAGCATATTGTATTCTAAAAATTTCGCCACAGTACAATTTCAAAAATATGTAAAACATTTTTATTTTAATTACCACGAAAATATTATTTAATTTATGCATTATCTTTTATCACTGCACGTCTTCTTCTTCTTCTTTTGTGGGTAAGGTCACTGTTACAGACACGTCAATCAGCTGATTTCAATTGTAAAAGATTTTTGCGGAAGTGTACAAATTTTTATACATCTGAGAATTTATTTAAAATTTTGTAACTGTAAAAAAAAATATATATATTTTATCTTTCTTATGCCAACAGAAGAATGATTCTTTGTTTTTGGAAGACTGCTGTAAGAAATTAAGAAAATTTCCTTAAATTCCTGAATCCTACAGGTAAGGTTAGGTTGAAGTTGTTGCTAGAAGAAGAAGGAAGAAAGGATTTCTTGCCACATGAATGCTGGCATTGTTTGTCATTCCCCCGCTGGCTTTTAGTTTGTGACTTCCTGCTCTGCCGGCTTTTTCTTTGGATTGCCGGCCGCTTTGTGTTGTGGTTTTTGTTTTTGAACAAATCTAAACTATTTGAATTATACTCATTTTCAAAGCAATTCTATTCCTTGATTATGCGTTGGATCAGTACAATGATAGCACCTGCAACAATAACAATCGCAAGTGTATGACCTACCTTTTCATTCCTATATCGGCACTCAGTACATTACAACACAACCCAGAATACATTCCTTCATTGTCTCTTCTTTACAATATTTCGACATTTTCAGTTAATTCAAAACAGTGGACGTATAAATTCTTCTCTTTTTTGTTAAAACAATAAAAATATTGTTTTGAAAATTCTCTAGTTCGTTAGTATTTTGAAATTCTTAAGCAGGTGCTAAATTACGATTGTTTATTAAAATATTTACGATACTAAATTATCGAATAACTTTGCGAGTGTGTTTGTGCGATTTACGCTAAAATTTAAAATTTTCGCTTAGCATTTTTTGAAACGTTCGTATATTTATGTATTCACCATTTTGGTTTATTTCTGCTGGTTTAATAATAAATAAAAAATATTTATAATAAATATCACTACACAGTGGCATGGCTTACATAAAAAACAAAAAACACTCGAATTTGCTGCGTCTGGATGACGATGCCGTTTTGAGTGTTTGGCATAAATTGCAACCAATCGATCGCGTACAATTGGCGAGCAGCTGCAGACGTTTCCGCAAGATATTCGAGGAACGCGATGCGGCACAGTATGCGATTTTCAAAATGGAGACGCTTTGGCAGGTGTCCGTTAAGGATATTGACAGTTACGCCAGACTTGTGGCTCCTTTAATACAAGAGTTACGCGCTTACACGCCATGCGTGGGTAACGTACGCGCAAAGAAATTTCTAAAAAGCATGACTGGCAATTGTGAGCCGTTGCGCCGCGTCGTCTTCAAGGGCGTGCGTGTCGCGTTTCAATTGTTCGAGCTGCTTGCGAATGCGAAATACCTGACGGAGTTGTGTTTGCAAAACTGCAGATTGCTGGATAAGGATGTGGATATGATAACTATGTTATCGAATTTGATGGTGCTCGATTTGTCGAAGAATAATGATATTACAGGTTGGCAATCATATACATCTACATTTCTAATAAAAACTCATAACAAACTTTCTTTTCACGCCAGGTCACGGCTTGAACTCTTTAATCAGCTTGCGCGCACTCTACCTGTCGAATTGCAAGAGTTTGGATCCCATCAATTTGGTGCATGTCTTCAAATCCGCCAAACATCTGTGCATACTCGACATACAACAGCCATATTCGAATACCAATTTGGTGCCCATATTTCTCGAACTCGGTCGTTATTGTCGCAATCTGGATAAATTGCGCGTAACATTGCCCGAGCATCGTCGTTATGAATCGCTCGCACGTCTGCCTAAATTGACACAGATTTTCGCGTATGGCTATGTACGCCGATTTCTTATCGATTTACGCAATCATCGAGCGCATCATATGCAAGTCATTTTCCTGGAGACACTGCAGCAGGTGCCCATAGATGCCACATTTATGTTCACCCAGTTTCGTGAGTTGAGGAAATTGGCTTGTGATGGCGATTTCGATTTCACACCCGGTTGTATCGATGGTTTCGAAAATTTACGTAAACTCACCTGTATTAATCTCTACAAATTGGATGCGTTGACGCCGAAGGATGTGCTAACACTTTTGAAGAAATGTCCAAAATTAAAATTTGTGCAATTATTCTTTAAAGTCTTTATTACCGAGGCGTTCATTTTTGAATTGATTGAGGTTTTGGAGAAGCGGCCGGTGAAGGTGAATTTCGTATTGAATTTGCAAAAGTCAAGTATACGCCGTGGCATCACAAAGGTGAGTGACAATTGGAAAGAAAATAGGACGGAAAGAGTCGAATGCTACCTCTAGCTGCCTTTGAATACAGCAATTTGCTAGAAAAAAGAACGAGATCACCTTTGCCATGCTAAAAATATTGTCTCGGTACTCTTTTTGTTGACGGGTTCCTAGCTCTACTCGATTAACTTTGTTATACCTACAATGAATCCTAGTATACAGACATTTTATCGCCAAAGTCATTCGCTTTAAGGCTTAAAATGTAACAGCTTAGCGGAGACGAGAGCCCAGTGGTATAAGAGCACGACAAAGCTCTATGAAACTTTTGCTCACCTTGATTTTCGTGATGTAGTGCATCAGAAGTTCGCACCATAAGTTAAGTGTTGAAGGCGGTGCTTTCTTAACAGACCCAACTTTTGTGCTATCTTTCAGGCTACCCGTTCATTGCAGTGCATTTCAATGTGTGCAGGCTGCACCCTATATTGGAATTTAACTCACTTGGAAGGCTATCTTTATTTTCAGTGATAGTCAAGCAGCGATTAAGTCGCCTGGGTCGCTCACAATGTTGGGGACTGTCGCCGATCTCTGCAAAAAATAGCCAAACAGCTTTTTAGCTTCCTGTTCACAGAGACAAAGGAGGGAAATTGCAAAGCAGACGAGTGTGCTGACCAAGCAAATTCTTTCCGACAAAGAATGCGCCGATATGGCTTTTGTTCCATGCAAACTACTAGTTAAAAGATTTTACTTATGAGCATGTTGAACTTAAATGTAACCCCAACCCCACCGGTACTTTTCAGAAATTCTAAAAAATCTTGGCTGAAATGTGACGGAATAAGGTTACCTGAAATATATATACTCTCAAAACCTAGTAGTAGTCTTAAGAGATCACTGTTTGATGGGACAACATGAGGCGAAGCTGAGAGTTCCCTTTAGGAAATGCTGAAGAAACTCTTAGAACGCTGAGGAAGGATCTACATCCAAAAATGGCGCTGGGGGGAACTTTCATTTTGTATTATGCCAGGCTTACTAAAAGTAAATCTTGTGTTTTGAGGATTTTTTAACCGATCGAAACTTAATGGAAGTGGTCAGAAGCATAAAATGATTGAAAGAAGCATCTCAATCATGAGATCTTGACTCCTTCCATGTCTTTGTCGTCTGAACCTTGGAAAAAATTCTTTCATTTTCTATAATTTTTAATATTGGTAGAACCAGGACTCGTACTCTGTCTGGCTTTCAAAATGGCACTCGGCAATTCTATAGTCCAACCACAGCCGAATGACACGAGTTTAAAAGCCAGAGAAGATCGACTCTTCGTTATAAAACTTCTTGTAAATCATTTTATGAAATTATTTCTTATTGTCTTATTTACTCTCTTCCAGGATCCCCGTTATCTCGCTGCGAGTGACTTTTTGCATATTATATTCAGTGCTCAATGTGTCGATTGGGATAAGTAAACCCGTTAAATTGGATTATAAAATTTATTTTTCTCATATTAAGTATATATATATGGAATAAATTGATACGTTATTTATTGTAAGAAAAGCTGAGAGAATTTTTCATGTTTAGTAATTTAGAAAGAGAGCAAGAGTAATAAGTGAAGAAGGCTTCCGATCTGTAGCACCAGCACATGACTTCCAGTCTCAGACCAAGTATGCTCTGGGTAGTCAACAAACATTCGTTAAAAGGCCAGTAAGACGGTGAGCAACCTGTGGTGTGGTTGAATTTGGGATTCCCCNAAATGTAACAGCTTAGCCCAGTAGTATAAAAGCACGACAAAGCTCCATGAAACTTCAGACTTTTGCTCACTTCGATTTTCGTGATGTAGTACATCAGAAGCTTGCACCATAAGTTAAGTGTTGAAAGCGTGCATTCTTAACAGACCCCACTTTTGTGCTATCTTTCAGGCTACCCGTTCTTTGCAGTGCATTTCAATGCGTGGAGGCTGCAACCTGTACTGGAATTTAACTCACTAGGAAGGCTATCTTTATTTTCAGCGATAGTCAAGCAGCGATTAAGTCGTCTGGGTCGGTTACAATGTTGGGACTGTCGCCGATCTCTGCAAAAAATAGCCAAACAGCTTTTTAGCTTCCTGTTCACAGGGACATAGGGGGGAATTGCAAGGCAGACGAGTGTGCTGACCAAGCAGATTCTTTCCGACAAAGAATGCATCGATAGGGCTTTTGTTCCATGCAAACTACTACTTAAAGACTTTACTTATGAGCACGTTGAACTTAAATGTAACCCCAACCCCACCGGTACTTTTCAGAAAATCTAAAAAATCTTGGCCGAAATGTAACGGAATAAAGTTACCTGAAATATATACTCTCAAAACATAGTAGTAGTCTTAAGAGATCACTGTTTGATGGGACAACATGAAGCGAAGCTCAGGGTTCCCTTTAGACAATGCTGGAGAAACTCTTAGAACGCCGAGGAATTAGAAATGTGGATCCACATCCAAAAATGGCGCTGGGTGGAACTTTCATTTTGTATTATGCCCGGCTTACTAAGAGTAAATCTTGTGTTTTGAGGATTTTTTAACCGATCGAAACTTAATGGAAGTGGTCAGAAGCATAAAATGATTGAAAGATGCATCTCAATCCTGACTTCTTTACTCCTTCCAACTCTTTGTCGCCTGAGCCTTGGAAAACATTCTTTCATTTTCTATAATTTTTAATATTAGTAGAACCAGGACACGTACTCTGTCTGGCTTTCAAAATGGCACTCGGCAATTCTATAGTCCAACCACAGCCGAATGACACGAGTTTAAAGGCCAGAGAAGATCGACTCTTCGTTATAAAACTTCTTGTAAATCATTTTATGAAATTATTTCTTATTGTCTTATTTACTCTCTTCCAGGATCCCCGTTATCTCGCTGCGAGTGACTTTTTGCATATTATATTCAGTGCTCAATGTGTCGATTGGGATAAGTAAACCCGTTAAATTGGATTATAAAATTTATTTTTCTCATATTAAGTATATATATATGGAATAAATTGATACGTTATTTATTGTAAGAAAAGCTGAGAGAATTTTTCATGTTTAGTAATTTAGAAAGAGAGCAAGAGTAATAAGTGAAGAAGGCTTCCGATCTGTAGCACCAGCACATGACTTCCAGTCTCAGACCAAGTATGCTCTGGGTAGTCAACAAACATTCGTTAAAAGGCCAGTAAGACGGTGAGCAACCTGTGGTGTGGTTGAATTTGGGATTCCCCTCCACTGAAAAAACAAAAAAAAAAAAAAACCTCGAATGAGCTACCAGCGTTTTGAAGATAACCCTTATTTCCCCGCAGTATGGTAGACGAGACAAAGAATGTTGCGGGAGTGACAGCCCTGGGCCGGTTACAAATTCCTTACCACTGGTAAGTTCTTGAGCCCCTAACCTGCAGTAGAAATGGTTGGTTGAAAGGTTAGATTGAAGACCACACCGCAAGCGGTTACATCTGCATAGACAAGGCTCATTTAAGCTCTTTTTGATAAAAACTTACTTGATTTCTACATACCATGGGTGCCCAACTCCGTCAGGTTGGATCTGGCGACATCGTGAAATATGTGACATGTCAGTGCGCTGAAAGCCGGGCACTCGCAAAGTATAGTGCTCCAGCGTTTCTTCATATTCTGTAAATACTCTGCACTCAGCCGATTGAACTTCACCTAGCTAATGGAGAAGCTATCTCAGGGGCAGGTACCCCGTCAGTACACCCACAATAATGTTAGATCCACGTTTCCATACAGTTTAGTCTGCCTCCAATCTATACAGCTACATAATAATTTGTTGGTAAATCCTACCGTGAAAGTGTTCCTGGACCATAAATGTTGGTCCACGGTCCACTGCTTTAGATAACATTTGAAAGCGCTGAAAGGTCCGAGGCAGTCGATGGTGATACAAGTGATGCCAGTGCGAGCCAGGTCATACATCATTACATTGTCTTCTACGTCACGCAAGACCCGAGATCCAAGTGATATTCACAGTGTTTTTCCGCCATTGGACCTTATGTCGACAAACTTAAATGCCGCTTGACTGTCTACCAAGAGCCTGATAGATTATCCTGTAACGCGGTGGCCTATTTAGCAGCCTATCCACAGTTTTTACTGGGATTACAGAGTTGTAGACATAAGTTTGAAGCTGCCTTGTTGGTTCTTGGGGTGCTCACTCTGTTTCTGTACCTGCCTCACATTTAGATCTATCAGTATAGTTCTGGATACCTTGACTGTCTCCGAAGGGTACGCCTTGCACCCGCTTTTCCCTGCGGGGAAGAGAGTAGGTGGTATCTACCCGGCAGCAGGTTTGCGTGTCTCGGTCGAACTCTACATTTAAACTGAGCGACGGCGAGTACTCGTACTGCAAATAATGGAATGATGAGCGTGTAAGAGATATATGAGGACATTGCCATAGTTCAAAGAATCAAGAGGCAGCTGGCTATTTAATGTAATCCGGATGGATGAGTGCGCTCCAGCGTTGAAAGTTTTTGAGTTCAGTACGCCTTTTGGACATGCGGAGAGAGGAAGACATCCATTTCGGTGAATGGAACTGTGACTGAATGCGAAGCGAAGAAACCACTGGCATGTTATTAAGGACTCGGTCACAATACCGTATCCAGTGCTTGTTCCAATTCAGAAGAACCGTTTAACAGACTGAAGATGTATTTTCTTGACGAGTTCTTAGGTCTAGTAATCAGCCGAATTTACTGCGATTCCAATAAATTTAGTATCAATCGCCCTAACCTAAAAAACGAGATCCCAAAGTATACTCCTTTCCAGATCTCGCGGGCTCCGAGTTAAATACAGTGTACAAGTGTAATTATTTTACTTATTTATTTTTTGACTTAAAGGCTTGCATTAAAACTCAAAGGGTTCTTTTTAGAAATCTTAAAAAAAATACTTAATTAGGTTATAAATATGAACTGAACATTCTATACATGGTTTCCCCTTTTACTATACAAAATAAATTATTTTAGATAAATTAAAACAAAAAAACACAGAATATCACACTAACGGTAACATATTTGACGCAACGATGAACGTTTGCTTAAATTAAGCTAAGGCATTTCGTAACACTTTAACATCCCACTTAAGTTCTTTGTAAGCTCCGAAGCCCCACCACGCGTCTTGCGCTAAGTTGCCGCGACATCCAATTGCTCTGCCTCCCCCCGCTCTCCGTGCTCGCCCTCTTCGCCGTCTTCGTCAGCTTCTCTTATGTTACGAAACTCGACAATTTGTTCCTCAGCATTATCGGCACGCAGTGGCTGCCAATCGCGCACTGGCCCGAGCACAAGCCGAACTAATCTGAAATTACGCCACTCACGCCAATCATATTTGCAGCACGACCACGCCAGTATAGTGGCAAATGTGATGATGAAGCATATGGCCACAATCATGCCGGCATAGCCCTTTTTATGCGGAACCTTGTGTGTTATATGGCTGATCTTCACAGACGATTCTTTAAATGTGCAGATAGTGATGGGCACCCATTCGGTGAAGAAACCGCCGGCCAGAGAGTAAACACGCACCGCTACCTCATTGAAGGGCTTCCTCAATTGCGCTATCATCTGTTGTTCATTGAAGACGTGTTGTCGCTGCGACATGCACTCGATATGTGTTTCGAACTTTTCAGCGTTCGGCACTTTTAGACGGAAATGCACTACATACGAAGTGATCAAGCCATTCGGATGTTGCGGCTCGGGAAAGTTTATGTGGAATTCATTGTAGCCGGAAACTCGACAACCTTTGAGTGTGTGTAGACGATCACCGCCAATAGAGAAATTGGTGCGTGTCCAAAGGAATGTGTAGGCACCGCAACCAGCCTCGTTACAGGCTTGCACTTGTAAGCTGTACAAACGAAAACGCTCTAGACGTCCTAAAAATGCAGAACCCTTAACTGAAGCGTCCACAGTTAAACGACGGATTGCTAGAAATGGCATAGATGTGCCAGGTACGGTCTCGGCGATATTTGTGTCGGGTGGACAGTTCTTCTTGTTGTCTAAATTACATTCGAAGAGTGTGCGCATATTTTGTGAGAAGCGCCAGTCGTCTGCTTCCTCTTCCTTGCGCGTACAACAAGTATCCTGATCCTCATCGCTTTGGAGTGTCTCGCCTTCATGATACACATAACTCGGCTCCAGACAGTAATCGCGATGTAACAATAAATTGTCGCTATCCGGATGCTCGTATACCTCCACCATGAAGCGCGTTATCTCCTCTTCGCTAGGCGATTGGATTTTCAGGAAGATCGAGACGTCAGTCTTTCGCGTGATATTAACGATTGGTGGCAATGGCAAGTCTACTCTTGTTGACATGTACTTCACTTCACTACGTGCGTCGTATATATCGGCAAGTCCGAAGGTTTTCACTAGCAGTGCATAACGTGTGTTCGGCTTTAGATCGACCAGTATGTGAGTGTAGTATGTTTCATTGCTTGATAATTCCTTTGGAAATGTGAGTATACGTGACCATTTAGCTCTGTTGCAGATATGTGTGTCCAGCTCGCTGTGTTCGACGAATTCCTCGTTCGCACCGATCGGACGGTACATTATTTCCACTTCACTGGATGTTTGATCCTTCGGCCAGCTTAATTTTATAGAGTGATGAGTTAATACCTGTAAGGCGTATGAAAAGGAGGATAAAGAAGGCAAAAAATAAGTAAAAAATATTGAGATCGTCTTCAGAGAATAGGGCAAGGATCACAATAAACAGAGACGCAAGTCGCACCTGAGCACTACAAGATTTTACGGACTCCATTCAGAGGAAGGCAGTCATGGGCTACCTTAAGTTTCCTACGGCAAATGGTGTCTCAGAAACCTGACCTCCATTTAATCAAGAAAAAATATTCGAGCCGACTCATAGATACTCTAGGTGGCCAGGGAGACTGTGGCAAACTTAACTCCTACCTATTAGAGTTAGGAACGATATATCCAAGGTATGTATGGCTTGCATTCAGCCTAAACATGACACTAATCACCTCTCTGCCTCATAAAACACGAATAATCCGGGCGCAACTAAGTTCTGCTACCTATACAGAGTCGATCCCGTTACACCCGATGCATGTATAGCCTACAATGAGCCCAATCACGACCCCAACAACTTCTTTATATAACCTCTAAAGCTGATTAATCTGCTCTTGATATAAAATAGCTCGTTGCTCCGAGTCTCTTGTTAGATTACCGTGACTACATAGACTACATTACCCTGCTTTTTAACGAGACGCTCCATCAAGAATTTTTTTTATACATATGTTTGCATTAGCCAGGTCTTGAGTCCTCGTAACTGGCATAGCTACAATTCCGGTTACTGCTGCGAGTGGATACGAAAAAGAAGACTCACCTCGATATTCAACGTCAGCTTGGCTGGTTCACACAACACCTCCTGGTCATTAACTTGTATGGTATCCTTCGATTTATCGTGCTTAGCCTTACGCTGAAATTCACGTAATTTCCGATTACATAATTTCTTATTCGTATGCACAAACATACTGCCATGAACGATTTCGAAATTTTCCTGCGGCTGCCATAAATCTTTCAAATTATCATTATTATAAATGACCAGACCATAAACCCCCGCATCCAACAGCTCCGGATTGTTGGCGATCTTTTGTAGGCCACTTAAAAACTTTAAACTCGTAAGACCCTGACAGCTGGGGAAGAGATAAAATTTGTTTATATTTGTTGGAAAAAAAAAATACGTGAAGAATTTGCGTTGTCTCGTACATACCCCATTATTTTCAAAAAGCCACCAATGTAACGTAAATTACCCAAACTGCGCGCCAAATCATCCTCATTTACGGTGGTATACAACGATATAATAAGGCTCGAATTGAGCACCTTGCAGCCGCGTAGACGATAAGCATCGCCCAAATTGAAAATGGTATAAATATAATTGCTGCGCTCCAGGCCACACGGTATACAGCTCAACACTTCACGTCCATTTATCTGTGCGGTGGAGAAGTGATCAGTTAACGGAAAATAGGAAATACGTCTTTAACCTCAATAATAAACTTACATCAAATATGGTGTTTTCAGGACACTCCATCACACACTTATTGTCCTTTACAGTCATATTTTGATTTTTGCACTCCTCCTCAGTGTAGCATTGCTGATACACCTCCAATAAGTATCTGAAAATTTCAATTGGAATATGACCAGATATTAATTTTGAATTAAAAATTTACTCACTTGCCCTGCGGACATTCTTTAACACACGCGCCGTGATCCTCAATATTTTGACAAACATAACAGCCTGTGTTGGAATTGTTATAGCAGCCACCAAGACATTGGTTGTGACAATGATATATGCCTCTAAAACATACACACACAGCGAGAGAGAGAGAGAGAGAGAAAGAGGAGATATACATATATCAAAATGTAAAATATATTGTAAACATAATATTATATTAGAGTATTTTATTGTAAACAGAGCATAATTCGTTGATATCTTTTTTATCGATACATTACAATACATTTCCTTATATTTATGTTAATCGATATGTATTTAGTTCATACATTTCCCGGTAGCGATCAACGGACGGAAGTTTATTCAAAATGAAATCTATTTCCATGTTTTATGTAGCAGAGTCGTTGATTCAAAAAACCATGGATCGGTTCCTCAGTGACGCCAAAAACTATGCACCGAATACACTATTGCTGCTGTGGAGCAGAGTATCGGAGAAAACATGAATGAATCCGTTTGCCGTCACATGCAACAATTGGAGCTGTGCGTTCAGCGAACTGACTGTTTAGTAAACACACGGATTGGTTACCGCATGTGCTTGCACAAGGCTTGCTCACGTTTCCAGGGTGCGCGACGGGAACGCATGAGTAGGAATTGAGTTTAGCCTCGCAACTGCAACAGCAGCTTGACTACATCCCATTACACCCCGGCCAAAATCGCGTAAGCGTTGTCTGCGCCAGTAAAGTAAGTAAGTAAGTTGACTCCATGGCAGACAATATTCAGCACATTATTGCTGATTATGACCTCAATTGCCAGAAAAAGTGGTCGAAAATTTTATCTCTCGGTTGGAATTTATTAGAGCCAGCTGCGGCGGTCGACATAATTTTTTAAACAAAATTAAACTCCTTGTGACTAAACAAACAGTCAAATCATTCTCGTCTTGGTACCTACGTAGTGATAAAAGTCACTTTGAAGTCATAAATAATTTCGTAAAATTGTAAAATCGTCTGATGAAACACAAAGGTGAAGTTCTGCAAGTCGCTTGGACTTGGCTTGGGAAAGGCTTGCGGAAATGTCGTCCATTTCTTCTTTTGTTTGGCTAGCAGCTTGGGAATGGGTCCTGATGATATTATAGCCACTCTCACCCTGACAAAGATATGTGTCGTTAGGAGCATGAAAGCAACTTTGTTATGAACAAGAGGTGGGTTATCCGGCCAAGCACTATTACTCCCGCCATCAAATATAAATAATATTTTGCCGTTACAACAATAACAACAAAAGTTGTGCCACAGTTTTGGGAAACTTCTCGTTCGAAACAAGCACTGTCTAAGGCCTCATCACCGTCCTCCGCTTAGACTTCCAGCGGCAATAGCTGTATAACTAAAATAACGAATGATTAAGTTCCATAGGGGTACGGAGACGTTTTCCTGTCTCTGGTGGATTTACGTCCGTTTTGCGATTAGCCCAATGTCAGTTTGGCTGTTTCCGACTGCCAGCCAATTAGTCTTTTCCAAAAGTATTTTGTTAAAGAATTTACATATAAATAACTTACCTATGTGGATCCACAAGATTATCATTTTCAAAGCGTTGACAAACATCATTAGACCAGCAATGATCCGTGAGACAGTTACTGCACACGGTTTTGTTCGGACAGTCATCTTCCGACATCAAAGACACACTATTTTCACCCGGTGTCAAAGTTATGCGATCAAAATCAATCTGGAAAATTATTGTAAAACGAAACAGAAATTACAAAACTGTAAAATGGACGCGATGCTAGCTACGGTTGGGTTACCTTATCCACATTGCAAAGTTTTGGACTGGTATTTACGAATATGTGACCACGTTGTATGGCAATTAGCGCGGGAAACTCCAACTGAAATTAAATGAAATAAATTTGATGTAATTTCTGAAATACCTAAATTTTCCTCTGTCATCCCTCTAGATTCAAAGATAATAGTTTTTACATAGAAACAGATAGTGGAATGAACTATATTCACTAATCTCGCAGAGTAGGCAAATAAGTTCGGAAGTCTGACAGCAAAGAGTGTCTGGAGATATCCTTGGAGATGAGGGAGGCTATCCCTTCAGCATGTGCTCGTAATTTGGGCGACTTAAAAGTAGAAAACGCTTGACTACTATCAGCTGCGAAGTGATAATCTAATCAATGGAGTCGGAGCTCCATGGCAGACCACTCATAATGAAGCGATTTAAATCGGGACCATCGCTCTTGGAACTTAGAACATTTCTACTGGAAAAACCCTCTCTGGTAGTGAACAAGACGAAGACGAACTACCTTTTGCCATTAAAAAAAAACAGGCTGATAACTTGTGTATTGACCCCCACTTCACTGTGGACAGTCATAACTTTACAGTTGTAGATAATTTCTCCCATCTTGGTACCAGTACAGCGTCTCTTTTTACCTGCTGAATCGAGGAGTGTTGCCTAAAACTGAATATTAAAGTCGACGAGCCGAGAACTCCGATTGCCAACAAGCCAAAGTTGATGGATTGTTTTTATTGAAGATAGATGGCTCCGGTTAGCACTAAGCAGAGTGGATTGTTGTCATCGAGTTTATTTATTTATTTAACGGCAGGCCTAAGAAACGAGCTGGTTTGGCGAGAGGGAAGAGGTCTTTCGGTGAGTAGATTTGCATTTTACCAGTATTACTCAGGTCTCGCGAGACATGTGGTGTGTTGGTAGGGTTCCGCTTTCGGCAACTGATACTGTTGGCGGACTCTGAGGGAAGCTCTTTCAAGGTCTGTTGATAGTACGCCGAATCGAGTGGCTCTGTAATATATCGCTGAGTGGAATACGCAAACTAAGCAGTTCCTGAGCCTTCGTTAGACCAGTTTTGCCTGCTCCTAAATGGGATTATTGAACCGCTACAATCATAATGGAAAGCTCTTCTCCCCCCAAAATGTAAATACTAACCACTCAAACTGGCTTAAGGACCTCATTGGAGCCTTATTAAATGCTTGAAATACCTTCAATTGACCTCCCCAAACCCCCTTTTTCTACAATCTCATACATACCACTTCCAAATCGTACATTAATGTTATACCAAGAGCATAGTTCAAAAACAATCGACGTCCCCGTATCACAGCCAAGTTGGGAAATAGCTGACGTACAGTCCGCAAGCCGCGCACATTGTGGATTATCAGAAAATCGGTGATTTCACGCAGTAAAGGAAAAGTGTATTTGTCATAGTCGCACGGCGGCTCATCTTGTTGCGAGGGCACTAGGACCACCAAGAGAAAACCACGTATAACGGTGCAGTTATTCAATTGCTCGAATGCACTGCAATCATTGCGCACATCAATACTGCGACAAACACCCGGCTCCGTCGGTGTCTTGCGGTGTGGCACACGTGGATTTATTGCTGCGCTCGCTGTGGGCAGCCCATGCTCGGCAACGTGTAATAAAAATGTAAGGCAAAGTAACAGATTTAACAGGAACTTGTAGTTGCAGCGTGGAATGTGTGGAATACAATGGCGGATTAGCGACGTAATGCGGTGATTGTTGTCGTTGTTGTTACAATGCACTTTCCTACGTTTGCATTGTTGTTGCGGTTGCTGTTTCGGTTGCTGTTGCTGCGCTGATTTCTTGCTTATTTGCTGCTGCGGTTGTTGTGGTTGTGTTCGCTCATTTTGCATGCCTCGCAAGGCGTCAACAGCAACATGCGCGTCTCGTCGGCACTGCTCGCCTGCGCTTGTTTGTGTTGTACTTGTAAGTGTCGTGCTCTGCAATGGGCGCCGCGATATCGCCGTGGCGGTGCTGTTGCGCAGTGTTAATGATGGCATAATTGTCGTGCTTCCAACGTTTTATGCGCCGACTCTGCGGCCGAGCTCTTTAAATTACCGCAAAGGATGAGCGTTGACTTTTTTTTAAACTTATTTCGCTATATTTCTTCGGTTTTCGGTTAAAGGTGTTGGTGTTGTTGGATCTAATCTACTGTAGTTCCTGATAAATTGTCATCTACCTGCCCCAGTTGGCCGTTTGTAAAGAGAACGGTCGCTAAGTGTGTTGTCCTCGAAGGCTACGCTCAGTGTTGCTCGTTTAAAAACATCTATGTAAGGAAAAGAAAAGGAATTAAATTAGGGAAGAGATAGAATTTCAGACTTTAATATATATGATTCATAGAGTTTCAAGGCGCTCAGATGTAAAACTCAAATAAAATTCTTATTAGCATGTCCTCTGTGAGGGCAGGCAGCTAAACTTAATCACCAATAGGCCCTTACTCAGAAGGCGACTGGGGTGTGCCTCCGGTAGCTACTCTAGAGCAGTTTATTCCAAGTTGCCTCCGAACGGCCGATGAATTCTTATGAGGAGCATTTATTACAGCTCAGAATTACACTCAGTGGGCTCGACTTTCTTTGTCGAGTACCGCTCGCAATCAGAAAACATAATTTTCGCACCCATGACCTTCCACCTGGTAACCAATCGCCTGTTTCGCGGCAGCTTTTGCCATAGCAGTGCAAAATGTAGTAGGTTGTGGAAAGTATATTCCTTCGTCTGAAGAAATGAGTGTGAAAGGAGATAACGTGAACACGCTGAAAGTAGGACAAATCGTCTAATTAAGACTGTTAACGGCAGGCCTAAGAAACGAGCTGGTTTGGCGAGAGGGAAGAGGTCTTTCGGTGAGTAGATTTGCATTTTACCAGTATTACTCAGGTCTCGCGAAACATGTCGCGTGTTGGTTGGGTTCCGCTGTCGCTATTTAAAGGCAACTGATACTGTTGGCGGACTCTGAGTGAAGCTCTTTCAAGGTCTGTTGATAGTACGCTGAATCGAGTGGCTCTGTAATATATCGCTGAGTGGAATTCGCAAACTAAGCAGTTCCTGAGCCTTCGTTAGACCAGTTTTACCTGCTCCTAAACGGCATTATTGAACCGCTACAATCATAATGAAAAGCTCTTCTCCCCCCAAAATGTAAATACTAACCGCTCAAACTGGTTTAAGGACCTCATTGGAGTTTTATTAAATGCTTGAAATACCTTCAATTGACTTCCCCAAACCCCTTTTTTCTACAATCTCATACATACCACTTCCAAATCGTACATTAATGTTATACCAAGAGCATAGTTCAAAAACAATCGACGTCCCCGTATCACAGCCAAGTTGGGAAATAGCTGACGTACAGTCCGCAAGCCGCGCACATTGTGGATTATCAGAAAATCGGTGATTTCACGCAATAAAGGAAAAGTGTATTTGTCATAGTCGCACGGCGGCTCATCTTGTTGTGAGGGCACTAGGACCACCAAGAGAAAACCACGTATAACGGTACAGTTATTCAATTGGTCAAATGCACTGCAATCATTGCGCACATCAATACTGCGACAAACACCCGGCTCCGTGGGTGTCTTGCGGTGTGGTACACGTGGATTTATTGCTGCGCTCGCTGTGGGCAGCCCATGNATAATTTTATTTTATTTTATTTATTTTATTTTATTTTATTTTATTTTATTTTTTTATTTCATTTCATTTTTTGAGTTTTATTTTATTTTATTTTATTTTAAATCGTTTTTGAATTCTATAGTCCGCCACTAACTTCCAAATGCTTCCTGTTCACTTTGCGTATTTTGTCTTTCTTCAACTCGTAGGTTACTTCGATCGTCTTAACTCCACCTCATAAGATCCTGGTTCGATGTTCACTCAATTTTACGTAGTTTTTCTTTTATTACTGTTTTTTATTTATTTTTCATTTTCATATTGTTATATATGTAGGCATGTAAATTTTTTTTCTCACTTGGGCAATTATTTTTTCCTCTATTTTATTTAAGTTTTAACTTTTTCAATTTAGTTTTTTTTTATTATTATTTTTTTCGTTTGTTTTTCACTGCATTTGTTGGTTTTGTTGTTACTTTGTTTGCTGTTTCTTTGTTTTTTTTTTTTGATTTCTCTCTGCTTATTGTCTCACATGGACAGACTGCTCTGCCGTGCACTGTGCCGCACTTGGTTATGTCGTTATTTGCCGTTTGTCGTGAAAATTTGCAGTTAAGGTGCCAACTTACGTTTAATTAACATTACAATTTATGACGCCACATCGATCTCGATAGTATGCGAATTTATGTTCAACGCGCACATTTTTAAGGGCGTCCGTCCGTCCGTCCATCCATTTGTCTGTCCGCATGCAACAAAAGCGCAAATATTCACATACTCGTATGCAAGTATGTGTGTGTATGTGTATATGCATGTGTGCACATTGGCTAACGAGTGTGGTATGCTTGTGCGCCAAAAACAAATATGTTTGTTTGTTTGTAGATGTCTTTCGATTCGTATAATTGGTTCCGTTTAGTGAGGCACACGAGCACGACACGAGATGTGCAAATAAGTAGGGAACAATCACCCATACACACATACATAAATGTAAAGTAGTTTCGGTGTAAAAAAAAATATAATAAAAAAATAACGTAAAAATCTCTTATGTAAAAATGTTGTTGTTTTTTATTCTTTTTTTTTTGCGTAAATGTCAACTACTTCGAAGATCCTGTGGAAATCTGTCGAGAGTTGTATTTTTAGGTACTACTGGCGTTATTGTTTGTTGTAACTTTTTTACCAAAAAAAATAATAATTAAAATTACGTATATTTATTGTGACCGTAATTTGCTACGCCTGCGCATGACCAATAACCAAAAATTGTAGGGAAAAAATGTCTAATTTCGATCGTCCTCGGCAGGGACTCTCAACTACTCCTACAATGTTTCTGACCTGAAGCGAACACTTTCTCATAAAAATCCATCAAATATCGGAAATTCGCTTTAATTAATACTAATATTAATAGAAAGCCTACGGGATAGCAAAGCAAAATCCGAAAGTTCTCGTGGTAGTCGGGTCTTTACACCGAAACGCTGCGCATATTTAATTTTCGGCTGAGGGATTACTTTTCCGGCTACAATAATTACTAATATTATTTTATTAATAATTAAAATATTATCCAGTTATATTTAAAACATCAGAAATGATAATAGAAATGAGCAAAAGTGCTTCGGTTTTACGGTAAATAGATCTCGATGGAATGTTTCACAGTGTTAATCACTGTAGGCGTCCAAACTTAAGTGAAGTCGTTATATGAATGTAGAAAATGCATTTTATAGGACATAATACAGCCGTAAGATTAGAAGACTTATAAGCAGAGGATATCACGATAATATTTTATAGTCACTTGGTCGGTAATTTCCTCGAAGACTTGATGAAAGATTTTCCAATTTATCAAAATCATTTAATATTAAGAATTTGTTCATATTAAAAGTGCTTATATCAGGTTAAACAAATAGAGAAGCCGTGAACCGTGACTTTTCATAACCTTCAAATTGAAGTGTTTCGGGAACCGGATCATAACCAAATTATTGAAGGGTAGACTTGAATGAAATCATATTAAAACCAGTGTCTAATTTTTTTGATACACAATTTTCCTGACCAGTATTGTTGGCGATCTCTGAACTTACTATATTTTTTATTATATCTACTTTAAATTACAGATAATTTTAAAAATATTTAAATATATTATTTTTATATTGGACACTCTTCACTATCGAAATGTAATACCGTGGCGCATCATAATTTGTTAGAAATATTTCTCGTGAATTATGAGATTAATAGCTCTCAATGGTAGTTGAATAAATATATATATTTTTTTGCACATTTCTATTTCTATTGCAGATATTAATTTATTTTATTTCTTAGTCTTTTTTTACTTCATTATTTATTTCATTTGATTTCATTTTTAATTTTTTTTTATTTTTTTTTTATACTAGTTAATTTTATTCTACTTTCTTTTATTTTTTGTGTTCTTTTATATTATTTTATTTTATTTTATTTTCGTTTATTTTAAAATATTTTATTTTTTTATATAATTTTATTTCGTTTAATTTAATTTAATTTAATTTTATTTTAATTTTTATATATTATTTTATTTTTTATTTTATTTTATTTTACTTTATTTCATTTTCTTTTATTTTAAAATATTTTATTTTTTTATATAATTTTATTTCGTTTATTTTATTTTATTTTATTTAATTTAATTTTATTTTATTTTATTTTATTTTATTTTATTTTATTTTATTTTATTTTATTTTATTTTATTTTATTTTATTTTATTTTATTTTATTTTACTTATTTTATATTACTTTATTTTATTTTAATTTTTTTTTATTTTGCTTAACTTATATTAATTTAATTTATTTTTATTTTATTTTATTTAATATTAGTTAACTTATTTTAATTATTTTTTATTTAATTTTACCTTGTTTTATTTTATATTATTTTAATTTATGCTTTGAGTTTTTTTGAATTTAATTTTTATTAATTTCTTATTTTATTTCTTTTTCTTTTATATTAATTTATATTATTTTGTTTTATTTTGTATTATTTAAATTGGTTTATTTTCATTTTATCTACATTTTGCATTTCATCTTATTGAGCTGCCTTTTATTTAATTGAATTGAAATAAAATTACGTACTTTTAACACTGCACTTTTAGTTTTACGGTCACATATTGCGAAATTATTTAATTGTTTTCCCTTTTTTCTGCTTTTTTATTATTAAATTTTTTAATTAAATATACATTTTTGCCTACTCAGTAATTATTATTAAGTATATATATATATATTACAGTTATTATTGATGCCATATATGTATGTACCTACACAGTTTCATTGCACTATTTTCACACACAGACACATTTTTGTGTTTTAATATCACCAAAGCATTTACTTTTAATTTATTATTATATTTTTTTTTTTAAATTACCAATCATAAGAAATAAAAGCTTTTAATAGTTTTTCAAACATCTTCCAAGACAAGTATAAATTAAACAAATTAACAAATTAGACGAAATCAATTAAAACAAAACTCAGTTTTCCGCACACCAAACGTGGTTGGGTGTTAAAGTTCAAATGCGCTAATTGTTGTTGAGTTCAGATGAAACGGAACGTGAAATAAGTCGTTGTCATATAATACAACAACAATTTATTGATACAGTTATAAATATGCCGAGCATTGTGAACTAAAGTTTGCTATGCCTAAATCTTATTAAACATTCAAATGTCTTGGCAGCACTTTTTGTTCAGCTTTGAGGGAATTAACCCTTAGGAAAATATTAATTTAGGCAATTAGATGTTTTTTTTTTTTAATGGAAATTTCATTTTTGAGAGTATTCAAAATAATAAAAAAATTACTTTTTAATGACAAGCCCTTCGAGCGTATTTCTGACATGAAGTAAATGCTCCTGCTGAAAAATCATCAGCCATACGAAAGTGGCTTTAAAAAAACTGTAGGTTCCTCCATTTGTTGGAAAAATATTAGGACTACCAAAGAAGAGGAAGAGCTCGGTATCAGAAAAGTGACGGGTTGATCGTTTCAGTAATCTTGGTATGATTTTTCGGGACTTGAAGTTTCACAGCTGTACCTATAAACGTTTCTGAATGGATAAGAAAATACTGAGGAAAATGGTGAGTCGACTGATCTAAATGCCGAATATGTTTTAGAGAATAATAATGGTTTCAAGAAAAATATAATATACCACAGAGAAATGATCCTTCTTATCAAGAATTCTTGCCAAGTAGTACAAGGCACCTGCTTTTAAATCGCCTCTAAAAAAAGGCATGGAGATCACACATTCTACCGAAGGCAAATATCTCGGCACAACATTACTCAGATATTAAGCTCAACTGCAACACGTCCGAAAGGTCACGGAAGGCTACATACATATAACTGCACTGCAAAGCGGTCATCGGCAAGAGATAGTGTCTGAAATCGAATATTGTCTACTGGATATGTAGAGCAGTTGTAAGAGCAATCCTTGGTGTCTCCATGTAGTGGTTGTCAACCGAAAAAAAAAACTATTTTCAGAAACAAATTAGATAGCATTCAGCGGTCGGCAGTTATCCGCCTAACAGGAACTCTACCGCTGTCTTCCTTAAATGCCTTGGATATTCCTCTAAATTTTCTTTCTCCAACAATGAGCTTAAACGCCAGACAACTTTGCAGCAATTGCAGCATGGGGCACGCCAAGAAATATTACCTCTCGCACAGTGGAAGGAGGAGCTGGATTACGCCACTTCCTTTATTAGCTTTGACAATCTCTTATAGACAATTACAATGTAAGAAATGACCACCGCGGGTTAGGGGTTCAAGAATTTATGCACGGTAAAGCAAGCCATGGTAAGGAGCGATAAAGATCCAGGTCGGGTTTTTATACCAGAACGACCGGAACTTATATTCGACCACCGTCTGTCACTTCCACAATATACGCCAAAAACAAATTGGGAAATATTTCTGTGGTTACTGGGGAACTATAACAAAAACTACAACAACAAGTGAATGTCTTGACCTTTTAACGTTACTTCTCTCCCAAGAAGCTCCAGAGCCTGTTTTGTTTAGTACGCTTCTGCAGTGGATGGTCACCTTGGTGTAGTCCAGGGGTTGCTTGTTAGGTTTATTTATTTTTTAAATTTTTCAATTAAATATTCTTAATTTTTTCACGCTTAAGATATAGTCAATAATTCTTAAATAAAAATATATATTTTTTAAAATTTTTTTTTATTTTTTTTATTTTTTACTATCTTAAATTTGTTTAAACTTTCTCAAGTCAGCGACTTTCAACTATTTGTTGGGCATAAATTTTTCTTAAATTAAAAATTGAATTCACACTTTTATTTATTTATTATTTATTATTTTTTATTTATTATTTTTTATTTATTATTTTTTAATTAATTAATTTTTTATCGTTGAATTAAATCACTTTATCTATGTATGTATGTGTATAGAACGCCTTATATACCGTCATATTATTTTAGTTGATTTTATTTCCTGTCCGTTACATGCAACTACATACACGTACACATAAATATTTTTTGTTGATCCGTTTTACCGATTCTAAAAAAATGTTCCGATCTTCCACCGGGCACGTACAAATGCCGCCTGTGCCAGATTGTCTGGCGCTGACGTATCAGAAGGCTACTGCATGCATTACACATGCGCACTTATGCACACATGCATGTACATATGTATGTACTCGTATGCGGACAATAGCTTGAGCGATATCATACAATATTAACGATCGCTTTAAAAGAAGGCACATCTACTGTCAGCCGATCGGTCAGCTGGTCAGCTGGTCAGCCAGCCAACAGGCGGCATGAATGTTGATATGTATATATGTATGCAAGAGTGCATGTGGCTTGTGGCAAGTGAACAAGTGTAAAGTGGCATTTTCAGCGCCAGTGTCCAGTAGCACTTACATACAATAACAGCAGACTGTATAAAATAAAACTTAGAGAACTTTTGTGTACGTGCACCCTTCAAGGATCGCCAAGACGCATGCCTTGTTGAGAATTGGAAACTTGCACCAGCTGGCATATATTGTAAATATTTATATAGAACGCTTCAAAGTTCTTCACTGGATTTCTAAAGAGCTTCTACTTCAGACAGGGCTCAGTTTCCCAACCATTAACACATTTTCTAGCCGCAGATTATTGCAATCATTTCACTGATGAGAATCTCGATCATTTAATGGTAGCCAATCCAAGTTGGCTTGACCTTGAACCAGTTTATCGAGCGCTGTGCCTACGTGTGTGATTGAAAGATCCTTCTGGTCATTAATGATATACAGACGGTAAGGAAAGCTTCACGCACACGCTGCACGACAACTGAAACCAGGTGCTATTCTACCTGCTCTTTCCAATGTGTGGTATTTTCCTTTGTTTCCACAGGCTTTCAGAGCTGGAGCGCTCTCATCCATACGGATTACTTCAGCTAGGTTGGCCGCTCTTTCTTCATGCGTTGAGCTATGCAAAGTTGTCGTATACTTCGGTTAGCTCAACGTTCCTTAATCTGTGGTTTCCCCGTTGACGATGCGCCAAATCTTTTCCCCAAGATTTTCCATGTTTTTTTTCAGATTTTTTTTTTTTTTTTTCTTCAGATTTTCAATGATTTTCCTGTCGGGTATTTTCACAAAAAAAAAATCATTTCTCGGCCTGAAGAAGGGCAGTTAATATAGAACTACGCTCGTGTAGGTATGTACACACGCAGCAACACTTAAATTTGTACAACAACAATTGCCGATCATTTGTTGATCGATATATCGATTGATGAATGGTTGTTACATTAATGAGCACATACTTACATACTCGTACTTATGTACCGTACTTACGTGTATGTCGTTAAACGTATGCCATCATTATAGCAATATGTTTTAAGGAGTATACACATACATACATACAGTGTTTACTTAAGTATTTATAGTGAATTCATAGCAATTGGCGTTAAGGTCATCGATAGGGTTGAACTCCAAGACGCCTTCTCTTTGTTATTTAATTAATTTATATTTTCTGCAGCTGCTTCTCTGACACTTTCACTAAATGATTTCCATTTTTTTTTATTACTGAGCTTAAAATATAAAATAATATCTCAACAGGATTCTAGTTAAGTGTAAACACTAGTTTAACCTATTTAAAAACTAGTCTTTTTCCCTGCTGGGTTATTGACAATTTATGACTTAACATTTTGCCAAACACTTTACAAGTAAACCTGCTCAACAACACAGCTGATCTGCATGTTGTTGTTGCAATATGCAACACTTCCGATCATATGTTGGCAGGCCTCAGCAACGTCAGCCGAACAGCTGCTCTAAAGAGTGAACTAATAAAAAATATGAGGAAAAGAACCGTCATTTAATGTCTTTAAAAGCAGTCAAAGGAACAAGAGAGAATACTCTGTGCGAACACAAATAAAATATAAAATAAAAAAATAAGCATAAAACATAAAAAAATAAATAAAATAAAATAAAATAAAATAAAATAAAATAAAGTGAAAAATGAATATTAAATTAATTATGAAATTAAATTAATTAATTTTAAATAAACAGTAATAAAATTGTAAAAAAAAAAATAAATGAAATTATAAAGAATAAAATAAAATAAATCACCTAAAAGAAAAAGAAACAAAAAATAAATAAACTTATATTATATAATTTATTTATAAATAAAATTTAAATATAGTGAAATTATCAGGTGTACAACTTTGCTTCCGCCGTTTTCCGATAGGTGGCTGTACCGGCTGAGGCTGGTTGAAATACATAGATGATAATGCCTTTAAAGTGAGTGTGGACAGTGCCTAACGAATTGCCATCGCCGTTTCAGTGACAGTTGTTCTTGTTTTCGTATTATTCACACTCGAAAATGTTCGTTTATATGCCTCATTCTCGCCATTTGCGGGAAGTTTTACTTTTCTGTTACAATTCGAAAAAAAACGCAGCTGAAGCGCATCGAATGCTCTCAGAAACTTACGGTGATGCTGCTCTGAGTGAAAGAATGTGTCGGAAGTGGTTTCAACGTTTTAAAAATTGTGATTTCGATGTCGAAGACAAACATGGTGGTGGAAGAGAAAAAAAACTTCAAAGATGAACAACTAGAAGCATTGCTTGATGAAGATTCGTGCCAAACTCAAGAACAGCTTGCCGAATCGTTGGGAATGAGTCAGCAAGCCATTTCAAAACGTCTCAAGGCCCTGGGCATGACTCAATATCAAGAGCGACATGACAAAGTCATCCTCCAACACGACAATGCTCGGCCTCACGTCGCCAAAGTGGTCAAAAAGTACCTGGAAACGCTGAAATGGGAAGTCTTGCCCCACCCGCCGTATTCCCCAGATGTTGCCCCTTCTGACTTCCACCTATTCCATTCGATGGCACACGGCCTGGCAGTTCAACATTTTCAATCCTTCGAAGAATTGGAAAAATAGATTGCTTCATGGATAGCGTCAAAAGAGGACTACTTTTTTCGAGCCGTGATCCGAAAATTGCCGGAAAGATGAGAGAAAGTTGTCGCTGGCGAAGGACAATACTTTGAATAATATATCTGTAAGCACTTTAAGGCAATAAAGCTTTTAATTTTGGAAAAAAAAACGGCGGAGGCAAAGTTGTACACCTGATAAGTTAAACTAACAAAATCAAATATATAGAAATAAAATCATAAAAAATAAAACAAAAAACAAGATTAAATAATAATTAAATTAAATAACTAACAATAAAATCATAAATAGCAAAAAAAAACAATTAAATAAAAGCAACAAAAAAAATAAAATAAAACAAATTTAAAAAAATTAAAATTAAAATAATATTAAATTAAATAAATAAAAACAAAATCATAAAAAATTAAATTAAAATAAGATCAAATGAAAAATAATTTAAATAAATAGCAATAGAATCATAAAAAGAAATAAATAAAATAAATAAAACAAAAATCGTAAAAAATTAACTAAATTAATTGAATAAAAATAAATCATGAAGTTTCAAAATAAAATAAGATTAAATGAAAACTTAATAAAAGCAAATAAATAACAACAAAATTACAAAAAAATCCAAAAAAATCTAAATTGAACTAAATTAAGTTAAATAAATAAAAACGAAATCATAAAAAATTAACTAAATTAATTGAATAAAATGAATAAAAAAATAAAATCATAAAAAACAAAAAAAAAATAAAAGCAAAAAAAAACAAATTTAAAAAAAAATAAAATAAAAACAAATTAAATAATTAAAAACAAAATCATAAAAAATTAAAATGAAAAATAATTTAAATAAATAACAATAAAATCATAAAAAAACAAAAAAAATTAAATAAAAGCAATAAAAAAATGAAATAATAACAAATTAAAAAAATTTAAATTAAAATAAATTAAATAAAATAAATAAAAACAAAATCGTAAAAGATTAAAATTAAATTAAATTAATTGAATATAAACAAATCATAAAATTTTAAAATAAAATAAGATCAAATGAAAACTTAATAAAAGCAAGTAAAAAAAAAATAAATAAAAGTAAATCAATAAAATAACAAAAATAAATTCAATAAAAATTTAAACTAAATAACAAAAATAAAATTATTATAAAAAACATTAAATGTAAAATGAAATTAAATCAAATAAATAATCGGTTACAGCCAAGTTAACAAAATTACGCCATGCGTTTCTTCTTTATGCTGTTTGGCGCCAATTGGAAATACCAAGTACAGTACAGCCGGGTCCTTCTCTACCTGGTCTTTCCAACGGAGTGTAGGTCTTCCCCTTCCTCTGCTTCCACCGGCGGGTACTGCAGGGAAAACTATCAAAGCTGGACTATTCACATACATCCGGACCACATGATCTAACCAGCATAGCCGCTACTTCTTGATTCGCTGAACTATATCAATGTCGCCGTATAACTCGTACAGCTCATTGTTCCATCATCTGCGATATGCGCCGTTGCTAATGTGCAAAAGACCATCAATCGTACGCAAAACAGTTCTCTCGAGAACTTCTAACGGCGATTCATCAGATGATAACGTCCATACTTGTAGCAGGACGGGAAATATGAGGGACTTTTAGAGCTTGGTTTTCGTTCGCCTGGAGAAGACTTGACTTTTCAATAGCCTACTCAGTCTTAAGTAGTCAAACCTGTTGGCAAGAGTGATTCTGCGCTGCATTTCAAGGCTGACATTATAATTTGGGTTGATGCTGGTTCCCACACATTTATGTATATAGCGAGCCGCTTGCTTCAATACCGACGTCTGCTCGCAGTGAACAGACACTGTAATTAGACTTCAGCAGACCCACTTACACTCATCGACTTGAAATGAGCTGCAGATCTTTCTATTTGTCAGAAGAACTTCGAGGCATACAGAGGAGAAGCTCGGTCGAAAATCGCTTCAGCAATTAAAAAAAGGCCAGTTAGAGTAACAATAATAGGTTAAAATTGGTTGGCAATTAGGGAACATCGACACCTTTAAGCTCATTTCCTATTTACTTAGTCACTGTAAGAAATTTTGAGTCGCTTAATTTAGCTGCTGCCATATGGTGAAGGCTATGCACAAAAACAGCTCCATTTTTTACATAGAGCATAGAGAGAGCAGAGAACCTCCACCTCGTTCATGCAGCTACTGTAGTATCTTCTTAAAAAGCCTCTTAGCCTTTCTCCATACCGTCTTAATTCCCTTTAAAGTTGCCTCTTTTAAGAAAGAATAAAAGATATACAACCTCCTCCAGACTGCTTCCATCTTTGCGTGGCGTTTGTCTGATGGGCTCCATTTAGTGTCGAGTTTTTCTATTTCTTACTACTGAGGACAAGCTCCAGCTCATTTAAGTTAACATAGAGTCTACTCTACTGTACAAGGAATCCTCTGCGTTAAACGCAGTACAATCTATTATCTGCTTCGGGTGAATTAAACTCTCTTCAGACCCCGCTTTCACGTTTATGGACGAATGAGCAGTAATTCGGTATAATCCTGTTTCTGCGAAAGCAACTATGGGCGCAGTGTTGCACTCTATTCACATCGCTCACCCTGAAAACGTGAGCAACTCATGGCAAGATGCGATAATCAACTCGGGTGGAGCCCTTTGGATCATGGCTACGCTGTAATCTAATTGCAGCGTCTATTTTCCACTCTCCCTGGGCGACGAGCGGTGAGCAAGGAAGCGTTTTCAATACGATTCTGGAAATTCTGGAATTACGCAGCCACATATTTATGTGGTGATGACGCTTATATATTTACGGATATGTGTAAATATGTAAGCGTCATCACCACACAGTCTACCGTTAGGCAGTGAAACGCATGTTATTATGTGCGTGTGTAATTTTCTATATGTAAATATGTTATTTTTAACTACATTTTATTTAAATAGGCTCAGTGTTGCTGTACGCGACCGCCAGTCAAGCTGCAGAGTAGGTATGTATGTATGTATGAGCAATGTAGAGAGAGTTCAGAGATCAATTATTACAATTAAAGTATTTTTACCATTGCCAATTTGTTCAATGCGAGACAATTATATTATTTTTTGGTGATTTGTTTTTTATTTACATATGTAATTACATACGTGTATGTATGTGTGTAGTAAAATTTGATGAAATGTTGATGTTGATATTTGAAAAATATTGAAAAAAAATAAAAAAAAATATATGTATATATACATATAATAGAAACAGTAAGAAATAATATTGCCATAACATTTTATTGGTAAAAAATATTTTACAAAGACTGTAATGTATGTGTGGTTAAAGCATAAATACTTATAAGTATATTAATAAAAATAAAAATTAAATAAAGAAAAAATTATACAAAATCACAATAAAAACTGCACAGTTTTTTTTTTCAAATATTTTTAATACAATATTTTTTTTTTCTTCAATGTAATTAATATTTTCCCTTCCTCTCTCGCTCTCTCTCTCTGTCTCCTTACTCCGGCGGCGTATTGTCGTGTATCCATTCGGCAAAATGCGCCACGGATGTGTAAACGCTCGGTATACGCAAACCACCGCAATTATCTGAGCCAAATGACATGATGCCAATCTGTTAATGATGCATAAAAAAATATTATTAATTTTTTAAGTTTTAATATTAAAAACATATTCTTAACTGTTTAATTTTTTTTAATATCTTTTATTTTCGAAATTATTTTTCCAAAACTGTTAACGATAAGAAAATTATTAAAAGAAAAGTTATAAGAATACCCATTATTTTGTCAAACATTTACCTTTAATTTTTATTATAAAAATATTGCTTTTTTGTCTTAAGTATAAATAAAAGTTTTTTCGTTATATTTATTGCCAAAATTTTTAATGATAAAAAAATATTAAAAAAGTATAAGTTGCAAAAATATTTATATATTTAATTTTGCATTTTTAATATAAGTTTTTAGTATTATTTAATAAAAATATATTTTTTTATTTAATTTTAATAAAAATTAATTATTTTTATTTAATTTTAATAAAAATATATTTTTTTTTGTTTTTTTTTAAGTATTGCTATTTCCGTAATTCTAAATGTTAAAAACAATTATTAAAGAAATGAAGGTCATAAGAATATTTTTTTTATTATTTTTATTAAAAATTCCATTTTTCAATTTATTTTATTTTTTTTTTTCATTAAAAATGCAAAATTAGATATTTTTATTGCCAAAATTAAATGATAAAAACATAATAAAATATATTATTTATTAATGGTTTTTTTTTGCCAAAATTAAATGATAAAAATATAATAAAAAAAATTTTTTATAATTTTTTTTTTTAGCGACCACACTATTAAATATAACAAAAAATATATTTTTTATTATTTTTGTTAAAAATTCCATTTTTTTTATTAAAAATTCCATTTTTTCTTTTTTTTTATTAAAAATTCCATTTTTTCTTTTTTTTATTAAAAATTCAATTTTTTTATTTTTTTTTATTAAAAATTCCATTTTTTCTTTTTTTATTAAAAATTCCATTTTTTTCTTTTTTTTAAATTAAAAATACAAAAACTAAATATTTTCATTTCCAAAATTAATTGATAAAAATAATAATTAAAAAATGATGTTATAATTTTTTTGTTTTAATTGTTATTGGAAATATATTTCTTTGTTTTTATCAAAAATTAAACTTAATTAATTTTTACTTATTTTACTAAAAATATAATTTTTCCAATTAATTTAACTTATTTAATTTATTATTTTTATATTAAAAATATAATTTTTCCAATTCATTTTTCCAATTTTTTTATTTAATTTTATTAAAAATATTTCGATTTTATTGTTTTTTTATATTAAAAGTAGATGAAGTATTTCCAAAACTTCAAATAGAAAAAACTATAAACAAAAAAAAATTATAGAAAAAATTTTTTTAAAATAAATTTCTATTAAAAATTATTTTTTTTTAATTTTAAAAAATTTCTTATTTCATTTTTATTAAAAATTAAATTTTTTTATTCTTATTAATTATTAAAAACTTTAATTTTTTAATTTTGATGAAACAAAAATTTCAGTATTTTTATCTCTAAAATATTTGCAAAAATTTTTTGAACCACCACCTACCTGCGAGTAAATGCCATTTTCTTGTATAAATAACGGCGCACCACCGAAACCCTGACACACATCCTTGCCCTCACCACCCGCGCACATCCATTGTCCTTCGATGGAGTTGGGTGATTCCAGTGCGCCGGTTGAGCCATAATTACGCAAACATAAGTCCCAACTGGTGAGTGGCACATCCAAATGTGCCATTTCCGGTTGACGCGTACTAGAGGTGGACATTTTACCCCAGCCGGCGATTGTGGCACGCTTGCCAACAACCAAATTGGTGCGGGATTTTTGCAGGCAAATCGGCTGGGTGGCGACTAAGAAGGGGGTAAATGATAGAAAAGTATATATGTATGTATTGAAGTCGTAAAGGTTAAGAATATAAACTAAAGGTGTTGGCAGTCTTGATGTGTTAAAGGCTTCTCATGTCCGAATAAAAGTCTTCTTAGCAAAACTAGCTGAGCCGTCTCGAGGTTACCTAATTCCTCGTTGGCCAGGTAATTCAACCGGTAGCGTTTACATCACAATAAAGCAACTTTAACACATCCCAGCTGCTCATAAAATGGAGAGAAACTTTAAATTGACTCTGAAACAGATTTAAACAGCGCCAGTGGCTTGAGTTCCTGCATACATAATCCGGGCTTATGCGAATGCCAATAGAAAAGATGATCGACTAAAGAACAAAGGCGAAAGAAGCCAATAAAAAAAGTAACGCATTCCTCTATCACGAGTCTGAATCAGGCAGAAGTCGTAACGACTTAATTCCCTCTTCTTCGATCAATGACAAGATCTGCTACTCACATTGCATGTGAAATCACCCTGCCACCTACTTTTGGGCCTACTGTCGCTGACCGATCTTTTACCGCGGCTAGGCCTCATTTCCTTCTAGTTAGGCCCTCACCCTCTGTAACGACAGCCTTTCTCTTTGCACTTACATGACGGTATTTAAGTGTATGCGCGTGCCTACCACACAGAGATGTCAATGTAATGTTGCCTACCTTTAAGGGCCCTGTGGCCCGATAAAGCAGTGCTAGGTTTATGAAAATGCAAATTTTGTGGAAGTTAGTGAGAGTAGATGTTACTTCGGGGGGATATTTATAAAATAACATTTTTCTGGTCGGCTAGATGAACGGCTTGAAGAAAACGTTACTTAAACGAGGAGTTCGAGAAAAGACACAGTGCCAGCCGTGTATGAAAAATAAAAGGTGTTTTAAAAAGAAAAAAAAAAAAAAAAAAAATTAACAGAATTGGAGATATCGAGGTCGCCAGCAAAGTTATTCAAAATTACCTTTTTGGTGATAAACTAGAACGTGGAGGAGGTTGTAAACAACGCACTTAAATCAGCTGGGAAAAATAGGCCATTGGGGAGAAGCCAAAGCCCGAATGTACCTAGCGCTCATCTTGGGAACCAGCCATCTCTGCCGTAAAAGCGCAACAAAAATCAACACAGGACTACCCGGAGTACCAGCAATTTTTTTTGTGGAGTGAAATTATGGATAGCATTAGTTCTGATTAATCTGAGTCTTATTACGTTCCAAATATTTTTTTATTTGCAACAAAGTTCGTAAATATTCAATTGCAAAAAAAAAAAAANGGGTTGATTACTCCCGATTTTTGGTGAGAGGCGTTACATTGTGGCGCAAGAGGAGACGTAGGAGCGGGTACCCTTACTAGACGGACGAGACCCATAGACATATGGACATACAGACATAATTGGTCAGGATTAGGGGGTGCTGCAACAGTATCAGGAGTCAGCGCGGCACCCATGGCGGCGTTCGTCAAACGCGCTGAAGGGGTGGGGTGACTCCACTTGACCGGACAGGCTTTTCTTTCCTCCCTATCTTAATCTTATCCGTCCTTTATCCCTTCCTATCCAATCCATCTTTTGTGTGTCTGAACCCAGGCATGAAATTTTTGTTCATAGTGGGGTAGGTGAGGCTAGCGAAAAGAACCCCCCCATCCGGCGAGCTAACGCGGGCTAACACCACCATGCCTGGTAATCACTAGAACCTCTACCGACTAACACCCCCCACTTATAACACCTCGTAATTACCTGATATGTCTCTATGTCCGACCATCTAAACCACGGACTGTAGGGCAGGTTGGTAAAATACGCTATACGAAAAACTTTACCTTCCGAACCCTTTGATGATTTCGTTGAAAATACTTGAATCCGGCATGCTTTTGTTGGTCCTCAAGTGTGCCATGTCAAGCTTGTGAGAGAGCTAGACTGTCGCAAAGTAAATGGACAAATCGCAGCTTCTACAAAGCCTGTTATAGGACAGGCCGATTTGTTATACATGCTCCCCAAAGGTCCAGTAAGTCTATTTCCACTATTCATGGACCTATTTCATAGTTCCTTTGCTGCTTTACTGTAACACTTGGTACAAATCTGCTTTGCCATCTTACAGCAGGCTATGGATTTCCAGCTTGGAACTATTGGTGCAAATTACAAGTGAAGCCATCTTTCTATGGATCCTAACAGACTTGGCCAACTAGTTAACTTTTTCGCTATCGAAAATATTCATACAGCTGGACAGCCAGATTATGGAGTTACCGAGTTAACCTTCGGAGCTTACAACCTTGCTACAAACCTTTGAAATCACACCTGGAATGAACTATTGAAAGTGGACGGAACTCTTGAAATCCAATTTCAGAAGGACATAGTACGATATATTTAGAGTTGTTGTAAGCTAGCTCAGAATATCGCTGTATCAACCAACCTAATACTCCACACACCATGTGCAGTTGATGTAGGAGCACATAAAGTGCACTCGGTGAACGTGATTTAATAGGTCCAGTTAACCCCGTACAAGTTGCTCTCTGCAAGGCGCCGAGATTTTTTTGAAAAAAGCCAACAGCCAAGGTTTCCTATGCCCCGTATTTGCTCTTGGCTCTCGGACTGCCGAACAATGGAGCAAAACCAAATTAGGAATAAATGTTATTATACTTTAAATTAAGTTGTGGTTATGTGGCAAAAGTGAAACGTATTGTTGGTAAAATTGAAAAATAAACCAAAACGATTTTGGGGTAATCAAAAATATTGAGAAGTAAAATTGAATTTCATTGATTACGAATATTGTTGCTGAAGAAAATACATACATATGTATGTATGATGGCCATAATTTCTGCGTGCTTAGCAGTATGTACTGCCATACGATATGCCAGAGTTCAAATCCTGGTCAGTGCTACATACAAGACTTTTAGAAAATGATATTTTCTAATTGAGTTCACCCTTCGGCAGGGTATGCCAAGCCCTCGGAGTGTATCTCTGATATGAAATATAAGCTCCTTATACGTGTAAAAGTCAATCGGCCGCTCGGAGGTCGCTTAGAATAAACCCTTCATTTGATGGATAAATATATTTCGTTCAAATTTTTCTATCGAAAAATCAAAGTGGATTTTACGCTCAACCATTTTCGAACTTTCATCGAAAAAATTTACCGGAATTTTAAAAACTTTTTCATTTATTGCATATTTAGTGCCTTTATTACCCATTATTCTTTCGTTTTCCTGCTGTTGCTTTTGTTGTTGTCTTATCAACCGTTTTCGAAACCCACACTTATTTTTATCAATCAAAATCACGTAGTCAACGCACATCGTTGTCGAAATCATGCCAACGCGTAAAGCAAAGCAAGCAAAAAAAAGCAAAAAAAGAAAAAAACAAGCGAAAAAACAGCAGCAGCAACAACAACAACAAGTTTCAAGATACACCACTATCATTACGAGCATTTTTCAATTTCGATGTTATAATGAGTTTTATGGCTTAATAACGTGTGAGATACGAACGTGCCCCTTATAAATTCTGCAACATTGTATAACACACTCACCTGTGAGGTCCAAGTGTGTGGAGCATTTGGAGTGTGGCGCAGTGAAGTATAACAACAGTACAAAAAACTGCCGAAAAGACAGCCGGAAAAAAAGGGTTCGCTTAAAGCATTCAAACTCGCAGTCGTATCATCCAATTAAATCGGGTTGTAAATCACACTTAGCGGCTGCCGGGCCACCAATTTGACATTTTTCATGCTTGCACGCAGCCCAAGCCGGCATGTTGCCACACAACAGCCAACACCACGCCAACATCATACGAAGCATGACTGCAAAAGACTGCGCGTGTAAGATGCGCTATGTAAGATCAACACAGCCAACACCAACCAAAGCCACTGCAAGGTTCGCAACGCAACGCAAGTGCCCGGACTCACTGACTTTATGCCTTAACGCATTCGACGATTAATTCACTTTGTTTGGCATATTACTTTTAATGTGCCAAGTCATTGAGAATATTATGACAAGTTAACATAATGAACTTTGTGACAGCTGCTGTCATAATTAGCAACGGGGCAGCCAAGCAAGATTCGCAAAAGTCAAAGTGAGCAAGGCGTACTCGGAGCGTTTTATGTAATCACAGTTAATTAAATGGAAACAGGAGTTTTAGTAGGTGTTGAAATACCTCCGTGATGGAGTTTCAGTGTGTTGGCGATTTCGAGATTTCATTTTGAATTGGGTAAACAATATTTGAGGTTTAGGTTAGCTTGGGTTCGCGGTGTCTAACGATCTATTGCATCGTTTACATTTAGGACTGACTAAGACCCATTCTGATGCCACAAAAACTTGTGGTTCGCTAACCAAAGATTCTCCGATGAACCTCATTTAATCAATGACTTTGACGTCGGCTATCTTCTGTTAGACCATCCAGCGGTATGGTGCCAAAATTCCGAAACCTAGCCCTGCTCATTTCGATTTTTTCTCCTCATCATCCTTGTAGCTTATTTAACATGATCTGGTCTCTCTGCCTGCCGTTCTAGCAAACAGCGGCCTGTCAGGTCTCCTACTATTTTGGACATGTACATAACTCGCGGTCTTTTCTCATCCCTTCTCGTCGCTGCTTGTTAATATGTAAATTCCTTCATAAGCAGATTAGTGAGAAGTTTTAGTGAGAAGTTTTAGTGAGAAGAATCTGTCTGGTCGCACCTTGCCTAGCAAGTTCATCCACGTAACAGTTTCCCTTTGATGTCGCTGTGACCAGCGGGACTTGTTCAAGAGAGTCTGTACAGTTTGGTTATGTCTTGCAAAGATGAAACCCTGATGGCAGGAAATGTCAGGTCCTCCGAGTGTATTTCTAATTGATATAAAAGCTCCTCATAAAAATTTAACGCCTGCTCGGAGGCGGAACTCACTTTAGGTTATACCATTTGTTGGTAAAACCTCAAGGAATACTCCACAAACTGGAGGAAGAGTTCGGCCGAAAATCGCTTGAGCAGTTACTAAGCGCCAATTTACATATATATACACATGAATATGATCCGTCAACCGGAAGTACTTGCTAAATAATACCAAGCTACCCTGATTAAACACCCCCACTGATGCTGTTGGCAAGTTTTGACTACCCCTGTGGTTAAGAACTTTCCCACGATAAGGCATACCTGTCGCAAGAGGCGACTAAAATCCTAAAGTTCCCACGACAGTCGGGTCTTTGTACACGACTTTGGTACTGGATATTTTTGCGGCTGCAATAACAATAATAGCAACACCAGTTTTGACCTGTCCATAAGGAAATGAATCAAGTGCGCATTTGCTGTGCTATTCCATCTCATTGGTTTCTATCAAGTGATATCTCCGCCGAAATCTGTCGTAGTAACGCATGGTTATATCAATACCAAGTAGATACCCACGCATTTGTTCCTCTGAGATCTGTGACCAGCTTAACTTTTTGTGCACAACGGGCCTTTGTAATTTAGGAGCAGGCTCAACAATGGGTAGACCGATAGCACTGGACTTGATAACTTTAGAGTTTCATATCCTCTAGTGAAGAGAACAAGCTCCGCCTTCTGTAGGCCAATACTTAAAAGATGATACCGACAACTTTGTTATCCTCTAGTTTATGATATCACATGAGATTTGTAAGAATTTGACATACGCTGTGGCTCTCCATTCTCCCGCCTTATCCTCCCACTGCTCACTCGGTAATTGGTTTACTGCCGAGACCCTTAGAAGTGGCGAAATTTCTGCCCCTCAGCTGAGTTGTCTAATGCAGATAAACTCACAAGCTCAGGTCTCATAACCTGGCCTTCGGGCAGTTCAGTGTATAAGAGAAATTCCCCGAGGGTCGATACGCTGGAATTTCTCATCTCTCTAATCTCTTCTAACCTTCAGATAAACCCAGGTTCTAGCCCTGTGCATTTAGCTAGTCGCTAGCCGCCTAAAGTTTTATTGAACACACCTAATCATAACCTACACCCACACGTGAGTAAGTACATATGTATGCATGTAAGTACATATGTCATTTAAATTTTCAACATTGACAAAAGCCTTTGATGACATGCAAACATCAACTAACTATTTTGAACTTGATTCATGCGATAATTGAAGACATGGAACGCACAAATAAAATAAATATCATTATTTTTTTTTTTTGTTTTTTGTTTTTAATACAAACATACATATGTATATACAAGTGTATGCAGCCAGCGGAAAAGTTTAATTAAACCTAAACACCGACAAAAACTCCCTTTTAATGACAGACAGACCGACATACCTGCACATACACACACACAGACTCACACACCCACCACAGCCGAATATTTCACTTTTATTGCTTTATAAACTCTCACCTGAATAGTTGAGTGGCGTTTTCAACACCAACAAAGCGATGTCATGATGATACTGGCCCTGTTTATAGTCTGGATGCACGATCACATGGCTAATCGCGTGATTGACGGAGCGAGGCGCGCAAAATCCTGTACTCGCACAATCCGGATCGCTGGACGTGTCATACTCGCCGACACGCACCGAAGAGCTAAAGTAAAGTAGAAGAGATGAATTTTAACACTTAAAATTCCTAAAATAATAAAAAAAAAATATGTATGTATGTGTTTTTTAAAGAAAAAATAATTTTTCAAATTCCAAAAAGTTTTTTTTTAGTTTCAAATTTAAATTTAAAAATATGTGTTTTCAATTTTTTTTAATGATTTTTTACAAATTTTTTTTTATATTTCTTAAATACAATTTTTCCTTCAATTTCACAAAATACTTTTTCAAAACCTAATATATATGTTTAAAAAAAAGATTAAAGTAAAATATCTCTTTAGCTTGAAATAATTTTTTTTAATTCAAAAATGTTAGAAATATATTCTTTCGTTTTTTGTTTTTCAATTCCAAAAAATTTACTTTCTAAACACAATTTTTCTTTAATTTCAAAAAATACTTTTTCAGAACCTAATGTACACATACTTTTTAAAAATAATTTTAAAAAAATATTTTATATCTCTTCTACTTCAAATAATTTTTTTTTTTTGAATTAAAAAAGGTTTTTTAAAATCAAATGTTAAAAATATAAGCTCTGCATTTTTTTATATATTTTTTACAAATTTTTTATATATCTTTTATATATTGATTATTTAAACACAATTTTTCCTTAATTTCAAATGTTAATATATAATATATGTTTTTTAAACAAGAGAATTAATTTTCCATATTCCCAAAATATTTCCTAAAATTTAAAAATATTATTTTTTTAATCCAAAAAAAATCTTTTAATGTAAATGTTAAAAATATTTTTCTTCAATTTTTTTTTCAATTCCAAAAATTAATTTTTTAAATATTTTTTAAACACAATTTTTCATTCAATTTCAAATGTTAATATATAATATATGTTTTTTAAACAAGAAAATTAATTTTCCAAATTCCCAAAATATTTCCTGAAATTTAAAAATAATAATTTTATTAATCCTAAAAAAATCTTTTAATGTAAATGTTAAAAATATATTTCTTCAATTTTTTTTTCAATTCCAAAAATTAATTTTTTAAATATTTTTTAAACACAATTTTTCCTTCTATTTCCAAATATAGTATATTTTTTTTACAAAAAAATTAAAAAAAATATCTCTTTAACTTCATATATTTTTTTTTTAATTCGAAAAAGTTTTTTAATTCAAAAAGGTTAAAAATTTGTTTTTAAAATTTTTGTTTTTCAATTCCAAAAAATTGATTTTTTAAACACAATTTTTCCTTAAATTTCAAGTGTTAATATGTAATACATGTTTTTTAAACAAGAAAATTAATTTTCCACAAATTTTCCTTAAATTTCAAAAAATATTTTTTTTCAAAAAAATTTAAAAAAAATATCTCCTTAACTTCAAATATTTTTTTTTTTTAATTCAAAAAAGTTTTTTAATTCAAAAATGTTAAAAAATTGATTTTTTAAACTCAATTTTTTCTTAAATTTCAAAACATGCTTTTCAAATATTATGTTTAATTATAATATATGTTTTTAAAGCAAGAAAATTATTATTCCGAATTCCCAAAATATTTCCTGAAATTTAAAAATAACATTTTTTTTTAACAAAAAATTCATGTAAATGTTCAAAATATGTTTTTTCAATTCCAAAAATTAATTTTTTAAATACTTTTTTAACAACTTTTATTTCAAAAAATATTTTTTCCAATTCTAATATATATGATTTTTAAACAAATTTTCTTCCCAAAACATTTGCAGAAATTGAAAAATAATATTTTTTTCAGTATTTTTTTAGCTCAAATGTTAAAAATATGTTTTTAAATTTTTTAAATTTATCTTTTAATTTTGTTTTCAAATTTAAAAAATATTTCTTCAAATACAAATCTTTTGTTTTTTATTAAAAAAGGATTTATTTCGAATTCAAAATATATATTTCTTAGACAAAAAATATGTTTTCAAAGTCCTTGAATATTAAATTCCGAAAATAATATCTGAAATTCGTATAATATGTTTTGTTAATTCAAAAATAATTTTTTTAAATTAAATTTAAAAAAAAAATCAATTTAAAAAGATCTATATATATTTGTATGTATTTTTAGCACAACTCACAGTCGATGTCCTTCTGCTTTGGCTAGAGCACAATGGGCTGCCGTTAAAATAACGCGCCTCGCAATGACCGAACCCGCACAAGGATATGCAAAAGCGCCTGTATTGATATCTGAAATCGATAAAATTTGGAATTTCAATTTATTTATTGTATTTCCTTTTCTCTTTCCAGATACTTACGTTTGAAACCCACACGTGCCACGAAAGGATGTGTGCCGAGTCCCCGATAAAAGTGTCCTTGCACCAGCGATTTACCGCACACTTGATTCTTTTCCAGCGGACTACTCGGACAGCAGACGTAAGGCATCTCTTCGCCACCACCACAAAAGAGTGATTTATCACCGTAATAACATCGCTTCGCCACTTCGTAAATCATCGCTGTGCAATCGTGCAGTGGTGTACACTCCGTGCCCACTGTACACTCCGTGCCAGCATCGTAGTAGGAGCGCGGCGCATATGAGCGTCCTTGTGGCGCTGCCGAGGCGCTGGGATTCACAAAGTTTTCGGGCATAATGAGTTTTTCTAGAAAAGAAATTTGCATGAAATTAAATTACGATTAAGAGATTTTTAATTCACGTATGGGAACAGATTCTAAGGGCAGTGCTTTCCGTAGTGAACAGACACAATCTTTTTTAAGGTGTTGAGTTAGCTCGTAGCATTAGAGATTCCAATTTGGCTAACTCCGTCAAGTTCATAATAACTCCGATTAAATTTAGAATCAAATGCTTAGATAATTTGCTCGCTTTTTCCGTCTATTTCTAGACTGGAAAATGTACTAGTTCCTAAAACTTATTGCGAAAAGTTCAATCGAGGAAATAGCCTTCCTAAGCCTGAAGACAAACTATCATTTTTTCATTGTTGATAACGAAAAGTTTTCCAAAGAATCCCTGTTTCCAAAGCAGCAGCCACCGGCTGAAACAAACTAGAGTTTCTTGGAAGTCCATGAACTCCACCTCATTCAGCCGTTGTGTGAAGGGTTGGCATCAACTATGCGAGCACCAATACTAGGGCTGCTTCTGGTAACACTGGTAAGCAAGCACCAATCAAGAATTATGGCTTTTTTCTGTTCAGGAATTGACCTGGGATCTATTGTTTCAATCCATATTAGCAACGACATAATGTAGAATGCGATCTTCACGAGTATCTGTTTTTGCAGAAATCGACAATTCAGTATATTTCCTTACTTCTATCATTCAAGCCAAAAAAGGGCGATCGTAGGCGATAATCATGACCCTCTTGTCCCCAAAAACTAATATAGAGCATATAGTATGGTAATAAGTAGAAATTATGTTGTCTAGGATAATATAGAAACTATCATAAGAGTATCAGATGGCGGCCGTAATAACCGGGTGATTAGCCATTAAAAAGGCTTATTCGACCAACTTCCAAAAATGATAGAAACATTTTTTTTTTTCTCTATTTGCGGTCGCTCCTCGGCAGGGAATGTCAACACCTCCGAGTGTATTTCTGACATGAAATAAAGGCTCCTCGTAAAAAAGGCATCAGCCGTTCGAAGACCAGGCGGCTTAGAATAAATTGTAGATCCTTCGATTTGTTGGAAAACATCAATTTGCCTAGCACAAATTTGAAGGAGGAGCTCGGCCGAAAATCGCTTCAGTGGTTACAAAGTGACAATTAAATTACATATTAGGTATAGTAAAAAGTAATCCATTATTTTTACAAACAATTTAATGGTTTCACTTTTTGTTTTTCGCATCCAGCCTTATTCAAATGGTTCCAAATGATTTTTTGTGCAATCTTTAGCAATCTGGGGCAATCGAAATAGTGCTTACATGAAGGTCGCACTCGACATTGTCCATGATTTAATCGACATTTTCGACAATTGGTCTTCCACTTGGCGAAGCATCGAAATTGTGCATGATTAACTGTAAAAGAATCTTTTTCAGCCGCCCGGCCTGCGTCTCCGCTCTTATCGAAGAATAACTGTAAAATGTGTTCTTTTTGCTCAAATAAAAGTGAATCAACCAATCACAAAACTGTCAGAAAGACTTTTTTAGTACGAGATGCCATCTTTCTAACGCCATCTAGCGGAACCCGATCAGTCTTACATAACGCGAGAGATAGATAAATAATGGCATCTATTGGGAAAATAATGGATTTCTTTTTACTACACCTAATATAATATCAAAAAGTAACAGTTTCATGAGCCTAAGCTTTTTTTAACAGTTTAATATCTTTCACTATGGGAAAAATAATACAAAACGTCATTTGTTAATTCGCATTACACTAAATTTTCTATTACAGTTACCAACAACAATTTCATCACCATTTTTAATTAACAAAATTTCAAAGTCCTTTATTTGAAATTTCTTAATGGTTTCGAATTTCACAATTTTTATATATTATTTTTCACAGTATTTTTTTTATTTTTTTGCAATTAAATTTTTTATTTTTTTTTGTAATTAATTTTTTTTATTTTTTTGTGATTAAATTTTTTTTAATTTTTTTATTTTTTTGTAATTAAATTTTTTATTTTTTTTTTTATTTTTTTGTAATTAAATTTTTTTATTTTTTTATTTTTTTGTAATTAAATTTTTTTTGTAATTAAATTTTTTTATTTTTTTTTTTGTTTGTAATTCAATTTTTTTATTTTTTTGTAATTAAATTTTTTTATTTTTTTTTTGTATTAAAATTTTTTTAATTTTTTTTCTTTGTAATTAATTTTTTTAATTTTTTTTTCTTTGTAATTAAATTTTTTTATTTTTTTATTTTTTTTTGTAATTAAATTTTTTTATTTTTCTGTAATTCAATTTTTTTATTTTAATTTTTTTTTATTTTTTGTAATTAAATTTTTTTTTTCGTAATTAAATTTTTTATTTTTTTTATTTTTTTGTAATTATAATAATAATTTTTTATTTTTTGGAATTTTTTTGTAATTAAATTTTTTTATTTATTTTATTTTTTTGTAACTCAATTTTTTTATTTTTTTTACTTTTTTATTTTTTTGTAATTAAATTTTTTTATTTTTTTATTTTTTTGTAATTAAATTTTTTTATTTTTTTTATTTTTTTGTAATTAAATTTTTTTATTTTATTATTTTTTTGTAATTCAATTTTTTATTTTTTTATTTTTTTGTAATTCAATTCTTTAATTTTTTTTTTATTTTTTTTGTAATTAAATTTTTTTATTTTTTTTTTTATTTTTTGTAATTAAATTTTTTATTTTTTTTATTTTTTTGTAATTAAATTTTTTTATTTTTTTATTTTTTTTTTTGTAATGAAATTTTTTTATTTTTCTGTAACTCAATTTTTTTATTTTTTTTTTTTAATTTTTTTTATTTTTTGTAATTCAATTTTTTTTTCGTAATTAAATTTTTTATTTTTTTATTTTTTTTTGTAATTAAATTTTTTTAATTTATTTTTTCTTTTTTATTTTTTTTTTTTTATTTTTTGTAATTCAATTTTTTTTTCGTAATTAAATTTTTTATTTTTTTATTTTTTTTTGTAATTAAATTTTTTTAATTTATTTTTTCTTTTGTAATTAATTTTTTTTTTGTTTTTTATATATATATATTATATAAATTCTTATAGTTTTTTCAACAGTGTGTTTTGTGACTTTTCACTTTGACCTTACCAAAGGTACCAACTTCACAATTTCCTGTCGTTGCGAGCCAACCAATAATAATTAAGGTGAAAATTTGCCAGGCCGTAAGAAACCATTGATTAACGCCACGTCTGTCATTTTGACCGAACACGTCCTGCCACAACATTTTGTAGCAATAAAAAAGATAAACGAAACTATGAAAGGAAAATTTTTCCGAAATAAACTTTTTCGAAATCAATTTTTTTTTGTTTTTTAAATAAATATATAAAGAGTAGTTTTTATTATTTTTATTTATTTTTGTTTTTGTATTTTTTTCTTTAAATTTATTTATTAGTTTTTGTATATATAAAATAATTTAATAATTATTATTTTCACTCAAAACGAAAAACTCGCAAGGCAATTAAATTTAAATGCGTCCAAATGCGATGACAACGCTTCAGCAACTGGTCAGCAGTTGCTGATCGTTATGGGCAATAATGGTTGGTATGACAAATTTTCTGTTAAGCATTTTTTTATTTTTATTTTTATTTTATTTTTTTAGAATAAATGGAGTAACGCACAAATCTGGCTTTGATATGAATATCGGTATGTGCACACATACATACATATGTATATAGAAATGTGTAGTAATTAGAGTCTAGAGTAGTACTTAAATATGTATGTATGTATGTATGTATGTTTTTTTTTTAAATATTATTTTACTCGCATGTACTTTGCACAAATAAAAAAAACGGCGGCCGCGTTGAGTATAGAAATTATCAGATTCTGTTCATGAGCAGCAGAAATTTTATATTTATTTATGTACGTACAGGAAAATGTACAAAAATATGCTACCTTTCGCATGGCAGCGATTGTTAGGATCTGAATCTGGATCATACTGATCATCCATCCTAAGACTGCTCGCATCGAAAGTTTGGTTTACCATTTTCCTCGCGGTGAAAGCTCTGATGATGAGTCCAATCTTAGTGTAAAGGCTGTTTTTTAGGCGTGAGGTACTTAATGAAGCAAAACTTTTCTTAGAGTTGGTCTGCTTAACAGATGTAGCTTGATTTAGACTCAGTTTGGTTTGCCATTTCATGATGAACAGCCTAAATTCGGAACAATTTTTGCAAATTTTTTGCCCAAACAATGATTAGATACGCGTGAGCGTTGGATGTTCGCTCGGCACAATTGTCCAGTAAAGATGGATCGGTTTCGCACCACGTTTACTGTAGTGTGTAATGCGCATCCTCAGAGACGCCGTACTCTGCGCATCCTCAGAGAACCCGTACTGTGCGCATTGAAGATGGTATTCCTGGTGAGGAACAGAGCATTGAAGAAGACCCATATGGTTCTATCCGCCATCACGCCGAATAATTGGAGCTGTGGCTATTATTTTTATGGAAGGTTTTGAGGCAAGATTTTGGTTTACGAGCTTACAAAATCCCACGCGAGATGATGCGAGAATTAAAACCGATCGTCAAGCGCTTCGCACGTTCCGTAAATAAGCCCAAAACGAAATGGCCACCGAACTCAATTTTCAAAAGACAATTTTATTTAGGGATGAAACTCTATTTTGGCTGGGTGGGTGCAAAATTGTCGCTTTTGTGTGATGATAATCCATCCACAAGCCCTTTTTAATTACATTCCATCCTCAAAAAGTCTGTTTGTTTGTGTGCTCTATGGGAAGAGTCACAGTCACAGGCTCCATAGTGTACCCCAGGTCATGATTAATAACATTTTCGTACCTGAATTGGAGGATGCCGATGTGGACGACCTTTGGTACCAATTAGACGGCGCTTTCTGTCACACAGCTAAGGAAACAATCAATTTTTTTGTGGAAAACTTTTAGTGAACGTGTTTTCTGGCATTGTGGGCATGTGTAGTGACCTCCAATATCGTTTTATTTAAAATTTCTGGAAGTCGCTTCTCTACGCATACAAGCCCAAAGTGATTCATCGCATTATTGCTGACAAACGACCATAATTGACGCAAAATGCTACGAAAATTTGGGCTTCTGGATTGGAAAATCCAAATCAGGGAGCTCACGATCTCCGTATTACAGCCCATTAGGCAGTCTTTATTATTCAACAGACCCTGAACGTCATTCGGAAAGGTCAATATATATCTGTAAACCTCTCTCTATTCTCCAGTGTATGGTATTTTAGGTATCCGAAGAAGTGAAAACCTCCGACAGTTTAGGTGAAAATAATTCATATGATGCATTTATCTGATTCAGAAGTGCATTTACATGCTCAAAATCGAGGTATTCGAACTAGATCCTTAACGGTTATTACAAAAAAAAAAAGAAAAAAAACCCTCTTTTCGGTTGATACTTCAGAATTACAACGTTTTTGAAAGCTCAATATTCCTAGTGGCTACGCATGAGTCTCTTAATATTTGTACATTTTTATCAACAATCTAAAAGTACCGTTATATATATATATAAATTACATGAATTTCTGTGTTACTGATAATATTAGCATACCTGGCCCCACGCACTGCTTTCATTTCATTTTACTCCGCCAAGGCATTAGAAAAGCATAACGATCGTTTAAAAATGATATTCACATTTCACTGGTCATAAGCTGGTTCTGTTATAAACTCGTACATATGTACATACGTATGTGTGTTCGCACATGTTTTTAAATTACATTAAACAACACTCCCTTTCATGTTTTATGCCATGAAATTTAGTAGGTATTTTTGTTGTTGTGATTGTTGTTTTAGTTACAGTACATACACTTTGGCCTCTGAACGGCGAAAATTTTTGTTTTTGTTCTTTTTCGTTTTCGTTTTCGTTTTTTGCCAAGAAATTTTTACTTTCATTATATTTTTCACATTATTATAATTTATTAACAATTTTATGAATTTAACGACTTTTTCCACTTTGTACTTTAATATTAGCGCTATTATCATAACAATAACTACTAACTATGTACATACTGCAATTTAAACATACCTACTTGTGTATGTATGTATGTTCGAAATTTTCATTACAATTTTTAAACTCATTCAAAGCACTTTTACGATTAACTCTTGATGAATGTGAAAGAATTGAGAGGTGGCGTAAAGTACTCTAAGATACCAGACGCCTATAAATCGTCCTTTCCTTCAGCCATATATCGGGGTAGACGTTGCAAAAATGCTCTGATGAACCCTTAATTCGAATATATCGGAGTGACCGCACTGAAGTCTCTACACTGGTTGGCTACCACTCACGTTATCGTAAAAAAATTAATATAAAATAAAATAAAATGAAATAAACTACAATAAAAAAATTAATAAAAAAAAAAAACATTAAATAAAAAAAAATAAAATAAAACCAAATATTATATATTTTGCTTTTTATTTTATTTTATATATTTTATTTAATTTTATTTCATTTTATTTTATTTTATTTCATTTTATTTTATTTTTTTTATTTTATTTTATTTTATTTTATTTTATTTTATTTTATTTTATTTTATTTTATTTTATTTTATTTTATTTTATTTTATTTTATTTTATTTTATTTTATTTTATTTTATTTTATTTTATTTTATTTTATTTTATTTTATTTTATTTTATTTTATTTTATTTTATTTTATTTTATTTTATTTTATTTTATTTTATTTTATTTTATTTTATTTTATTTTATTTTATTTTATTTTATTTTATTTTATTTTATTTTATTTTATTTTATTTTATTTTATTTTATTTTATTTTATTTTATTTTATTTTATTTTATTTTATTTTATTTTATTTTATTTTATTTTATTTTATTTTATTTTATTTTATTTTATTTTATTTTATTTTATTTTATTTTATTTTATTTTATTTTATTTTATTTTATTTTATTTTATTTTATTTTATTTTATTTTATTTTATTTTATTTTATTTTATTTTATTTTATTTTATTTTATTTTATTTTATTTTATTTTATTTTATTTTATTTTATTTTATTTTATTTTATTTTATTTTATTTTATTTTATTTTATTTTATTTTATTTTATTTTATTTTATTTTATTTTATTTTATTTTATTTTATTTTATTTTATTTTATTTTATTTTATTTTATTTTAATTTTATTTTATTTTATTTTATTTTATTTTATTTTATTTTATTTTATTTTATTTTATTTTATTTCATTTTATTTTATTTTATTTTATTTTATATATTTTATTTTATTTTGTTTTATTTTATTTGATTTTATTTTATTTTATTTTATTTTATTTTATTTTATTTTATTTTATTTTATTTTATTTTTGTTTATTTTATTTTATTTATTCATGAAAACACCATTAACTAACACGGGAATCCCCAATACTATACATATTTGTACACATATAGTATACATATTTGTACATATATATATATACATGTATTGTACTCGCTAAAGGTATAATATCATAATAAAGTATGATCCCCAATTACATATTTCGCAAAAAAAAAGAACGAAATTGGTTGGAAAATGACAGACGTTAATAAGCGTGGTAACATTATTGCATAATTCTGAAAAGATATTTCAAACAATATGTATGCATGTATGTACATAAAAGCATAATAAACAAATTCATAACAATAAAGTGTAATGTTGCTAATTTCATTTCAACAACAATGATTTTTGGTTCAATCAACTCGCCTGTCTACCTGTCCACTTGTCATGAGCTCAATTGATGTTTAGTCCAAATGAATAGAAATGGCGAATTAATGATTTTGGATAATTTGGAAACAAATAATCGACAACGAATCGACGGGGGCGTGTGTGAGGTGTATGCAAATAACACAGGCTAATTGGGAATGCGGAAGGAAGACTTTTGGCCGAAATCACGCAAAGAGAATTTTCATTTCGAAAATTGCTCTATATTTTGCACAGATAAATCACCAAACTATGCTTTTAATAATAATAATAAAAAAAAAATATTTTAATAACTTTATATATTTCCGCGTTATTTTTAATTGTCGCTCTATACAAAAATATTTAGGATTTTATTGCGAAAAAAATTTCACTTTTACTAAAAAAAAAATAATATTCAAAAAAATGGATATTAAAAATTATAAAAAAAAAACCAATTTAAAGTATTGCATTTAGAAATATAATTTTTTATTACCGTTATTTGCTTTTTTGTTTAAACATGCATGTAATTGTCTTCGACGCAATTGGGCGCTGCAATTAAATCTACCAAAAATTCTAAAAAAAAATTTTAAAATAATTTAAAAAAATTGTACACAAACCTACACAGGCTGCTGATGGCTGCTGAAATGCTATACTCTGCTCAATAGCACAAACATGTGTACATATAGAATCAACACGCTTGCACAGGCATAATAACCAAAAATTTTAACAAAAAAAAATGTATTTAAATGGTCATTAAACTTAACACAAAGGTACTTGCACACATATTTACATACATCATATATTACCACGGTGGTTGCAAGTAAACGTAGATGCCACAAAAAAGGGTCAACCGGAAATGTGCGTTTAGTAAAAGTGAATGAACATTAAATTGTTTAAATTTTGGCTATAAAAGTGAAAAAGTGGTAATGAAATGTTTTTATTGTTATTATTTTTTTTTTTTAGAATATGTATAGACTAAGGAAAAATAACAGTTTTATTTGAATTTTCATTTGTTACCAAAATGGAGGAAAGTGAGAATGCGTAGACTCTTCTAAAATCAGCTGATTGAGTTAAAGTTGAAGTATCCAATTCAATTGTACTCTTCTTCTTATTATTGTTCTTGTTTTCCTCTTCTATCTTTTTTTTCTCCTTCTTCTTAATAGCGGAGACACCGCTTACAAGTCAAAAATGTCATGCATACGCTTGCCTCTTTAGCTGTACGGCGCCAACGCGATTAGATTCCAAATGAATCAAGGCCGCTCACCAATTGATCTCACAGCGAAGTGGCGATCTCCCTCCTCTTCCCTCTTTCAATGGGTACTAAGTGCAGCGAATACTTTCAAAAGTGCTTTCGTCCACATGGGCGTCATGACCCAAGCTACCCTGGCGCTATCTTTTGGTTTACAGAACTACGGATATCAATGACTTCGTACATCTCATCGTTGCATCTTCTGCGATATTGACCAGCGCTGGTGTGCGGAGACTTTGATGAAAGGTTGCTCCCGAAATCTTCTGAAGCCGATTCATCGAACATAGTCATCATCGTCGCTTTTGCACCATGAAGAAGGACGGTAGAGTTTATTCGGGAGAGAAATTTACTTTCCAATTGGCTCCTCGGTCAGAAGTAAAGCCATATTCGGACCTCCTACATATTTGTTGATGTTGTTGCTGGTCCTTAAATAGGGAAAATTTTCTACGACTCTAGAGTTGGATCTGTCAACAATGCCCCGAAGGCGCTGACTGTTGGTTTGATGACAGAACGTTTTCACTACCATTCACTCATTCACTTTGCTATTCAATGGTCTTCCCTTCGCAGTTTATTTAAAGCCCACTAACCGGTGCACGGCTTGTACTGTAGGAATTTTTGTTCTCTGATGACACCCAGGACTACTCAAATCTTCAAACCGTGTAACCGTCACCAATTTACAGTCTTTCCCGTCTTACACTGGTCGATTTAGGATGGAATGGTTTAGAAGTGGGTAGCCAAATAAGAGATCGCACCTGAAGACTTGTTGAATGTGCACTTTGTTGTCTATTCTTCAAGAATGAGAGTTCACTTAGTCTCTCAAAATGAGTGTAGTCGAAGAAAAAGTGCTTAGAAAACACTAACTCGGACTTCTACAAACTTTTCTTTTCTGATTTGCTGCCTCCCTATAGCCACATGTCTTCAAAACAAATATTAAGAACCAGTCAGAAGAGAACACAATATTAATATCGATCTAGAAAGATCCTTACCAGCCAAGGAGAAACATGCATTTGCTCATATTTTTGGGAATCCCAAAGTGAGGAGTTTGTCATATAATTTCCACAGGCCTCTGAAACGAGCTGTTACAACGTGCTCGGAGCACAGGGAAAGGGTTGTTAGATGCGTGGGTTCAGTAGACATGTAAGGAGCAGGTTTCTGTCGTGCGGGAACTCATTGATGCAGCACAGTATTACTCAGGCCCCGCAAAGCAGCTCGAGGTCTTCGTCAACCGTGGATGGGATTTGAATTGCGTTAACACCTTTCATGTGAAGAGAGTTAATGAAAGAGCAACCACACCGCTTAAATGATTTTTATGTCGGTAGCTCGTTCAGTTCAATGGAACGTAAATTCTAGAACATCGTTTCTGGTGTGTCTATGGTGTTGTCCAGCTTCTAACCGGTGGTCTGCAAAAAAGACAATACTCGCACACTTTTTCAAATTCATGAACAAAGCTTATTTCCCGGACTGAGGACTTACAGGACTTTGACAGCGGCATCTGAAACCGAGGGGTTAGCTGTGTATGTCCCTCCGAGGAGGTACGCTGTCGAAATTCGTTTGTTCTCCATAAGTAAGCTCTCTTCCAGGATGTAAAACAAAATTTTCCCGGTTAGTGAACTAGAGACCGAGCAGTATAGAGAAAACCTCAACAAAGTGTGGAATTCAATAAATTTACAATTTTAATTTTTCATTAGTTTTTATTGAGTAAAATATTACAATAAATTAATGACAAAAACAATGCACAAAAGTATATTCTATTAATTGGCGGATCGAGCATTTGCTTTTTATATGTATATTGTATTTGTGTGTGTTTTTATTTAAATTTTTGGTTTTAATATTTAAAAAAAAACTAGTAGTTGTAATAATATTTATTATTTATGACAAATATGAGAAAAAAATACATAAAATAAAGAGTAAAATATAAAAAAAAAAAAATAACGCACAAAAATTAAAAACGTTTTAGGCTATAGGAAACAAGCAAATTCTTCTACTAACTCAGCATAAACGCCGGTCGATTTAATTTAAATAATTTGAATATTAATATAGCCAAATTTTATGATTATTCGAGATGTGACATTTTACTTTTAAAATTTCATTTATTTTAAATTAACTTATTTTTATTTTTTTACTTTAATTGCTTTAATTTTAAATAATATTTTTTTAATTTATTTAATTGTAAATAATATTAAGCTCCTTTTTAATTTTATTAATTTAATTTAATTTAATTTAATTTAATTAATTTAATTTAATTTAATTTAATTTAATTTAATTTAATTTAATTTAATTTAATTTAATTTAATTTAATTTAATTTAATTTAATTTAATTTAATTTAATTTTATTTTATTTAATTTTATTTGATTTTATTTGATTTTATTTTATTTTATTTTATTTTATTTTATTTTATTTTATTTTATTTTATTTTATTTTATTTTATTTTATTTTATTTTATTTTATTTTATTTTATTTTATTTTATTTTATTTTATTTTATTTTATTTTATTTTATTTTATTTTATTTTATTTTATTTTATTTTATTTTATTTTATTTTATTTTATTTTATTTTATTTTATTTTATTTTATTTTATTTTATTTTATTTTATTTTATTTTATTTTATTTTATTTTATTTTATTTTATTTTATTTTATTTTATTTTATTTTATTTTGTTTAGTTTTATTTTATTTTATTTTATTTTATTTTATTTCATTTTATTTTATTTTATTTCATTTTATTTTATTTTATTTTATTTTATTAATTAATTAATTTAATTTTAATTTACGTGAAATATATTATATTATATTTAATTTTTAATTTTATAAAACGACAACAACATATTTCTGTAGAAATTAAGTTTTTAGATAAACTAAAAGCACCAATAATCAGCGCAAAAAAAAATGGTTTACATTTTTGCTGTCAAAAAAGTAGTGTTGCAATTAGAATAAAAATGGCATTTTTAAATATGTCTTTGGATAAATAAGTATATGGTCATGCACAAATGCACTTTGAAAATGTATTTTCTTTATATAACATTTAATAATTATTGCAGTAAAAAATATATTTCTGCTTTAAAATACTACTATTTGGCATGAGATTAGATTGCAGCAAGCCATATACATTTTTGCCAACACTTATTATTGTTTATCATTACTTTCTTAGCATAAACGCCCTGCCACATGTGTATATTGTATTTCCCAGCAATTACATTGAGAATTATAATTTTTCACTACATTGCCGTTTTTTATAATATTTTTATGCATTTTTTTCTTGTTTTTTTTTTTTTTGTATTTACATTAACGACAGAAACTAAGTAGAAAATATGCGCGTACATACATACGTTCATACAAATATAAACTCAATATTGCATAATTATTGTATAACTGCAAATGTGTGCTGCTTATTCATGTAAGTAAATGTGTAGTATGTATTTTCTCATTTTCTCAACCAACTCAAACGTAATATCTTTGCTTAGTGAAAATTTACAATAAAAAAAATAATTCTGTACGCTTATTGAACTGCAAACATCACTGCCACAATTTGTACGAGTAATGTACATATATTCGCAAGCATACATATGTACATATATATATATATATATATATATACAAAACAGTGTTCACAGTAATATTATGTGAGAAATATGAACATAATTTTCAAAAAATAAACTACAATATAAGTCTAAAAAAAAATTGTATATATGTATGTATATGTGTCTTCAACAAATAAAAAAATTGTTGTAGGTAACAGCACTACAGCATAGATGTACTCTTTATATATACATACATATATATATATATATATATATATATGTATATATATATATATATATATTTATATATATATATATATATATATTGATAGTAGAACCGCACGAGTCCAGCGCTTGCCACTACGCTCTGCTTACACATTTTTCCCTCTAACTACTACAGCCTGGCCTATAAAAGCGCGCAACGTTCTTCCTGCTTTACGTTTTTTGCGCATGCCGGACTCGTCGGTTCACTTGCCTAATCCTAACCAGCTTTTTGTGTTTGCTTAGCACGCTGCAGCGCCTCGAATGCCTCACACTCTTTCTTCTCTTTGGCTTTGTTGCGTCGCTCATATTCGAGTCGATGTGAAATAATACGTTCAACAATTAATTCGGTTGTCATTGAGTTTTGTGAATCGATGAGCGTGAAGATGCCGCGTGTCTTTGGTACAGCATATGGATCGATTTTGCCATTCTCCAATGCGATTGGTGTCTGACCGTGGCAAACGACATCGATTTTAAAATGATCGAGCAGATCTTCGGTTACACAGTAGGGCGCGCCGATGACCACTTCGTTGACGTACTGCAGAGGAGGGGAGGAAAATTTATATGGTGAAAATGTCTACTGTAGTTTTTCTTTTATTTATTACATTTTTCTCTCCACGCAAGTCTTACCTTACACGCCAGCACACTTAAGACACGTTCATGCAAATTCATAATCGGATAGTTGCTGCCCTTATACGAATTCACCACAGGATCTGTATGTAGTCCCACAATCAGGTAATCACCCAGCTCCTTGGCCTTCTCCAGGAAATCGAGGTGTCCCACATGAAAGAGGTCAAAAGCGCCAGCCACGTAAACCTGTTTGCAATGATAAAAAATAAAATATTGTTTTTTTCATTAAAACTAAGTTTTAAAAGTGTAAATATATATTTATAAATATTTTCATATATTGCTTAATTTTGAAATAAAATCTTTGTTTATTTTTTAATTACTTTTATTTTATTTATTTTTATTCTTTTTTATTTTATTTTATTTTTTTATATTTATTTTATTTTATTTTTTTATATTTATTTTATTTTATTTTATTTTATTTTATTTTATTTATTTTATTTATTTTATTTATTTTATTTATTTTATTTATTTTATTTATTTTATTTATTTTATTTATTTTATTTATTTTATTTATTTTATTTTATTTATTTTATTTTATTTATTTTATTTTATTTATTTTATTTATTTTTTTTTTAATTTTTTTAATTATATTTTTTTATATATTTTTTTTTTAATTAAATTTTTTTGATTTTTGTATTATCTATTTTTAGTTTGTATTAATTTTCTTTTTTAATTTTCTTTTTAAAGTTCTTTTTTATTTCCTTTCCTTTTTTAATTTTTTTAATTTTCATTTTAAGTTTTCTTTTTTATTTATTTTAAATTTTTTTTTTATTTTTCCTTTTTTATTTTATTTTAATTTTGTTTTTAAATTTCCTATTTTATTTATATTAAACTTTAATATATTTTCTTTTTTTCAATTTTTAATAAATTTTTTTAATTTTCTTTTATTTTTTTAATTTTTTTTTATTTTTTTAATTTTTTTTGTTTTCCTTTTTAATTTTCTTTTGAATTTTGTTTTTAGTATATTTTTAATTTTTTAAAATTTTTTTTTTAATTTTTAAAAATTTTTTTTTTTAATTTTTTAAAATTTTTTTTTTAATTTTTTAAAATTTTTTTTTTAATTTTCTTTTAAATTTCCTTTTTTATTTATTTTAAATTTTTATAATTTTTTTTTTTAATTTTTACAATTTCTTTTTTTAATTTTTTTATAAATTTTTTTAATATTCTTTTTAATTTCTTTTAATTTTCTTTTTAATTTTTTTTAATTATCTTTTTATTTTCTTTCTAATTTTTTTTAATTTTCTTTTTAATTTTTTTTAATTTTCTTTTAAATTTTTTTAAATTATCTTTTTATTTATTTTTAAATTTTCTTTTTTAGTTTTTTTTTTTTATTTTTTAAATTATATTAAGGTCATACTCACAATTTTGTCATTTGGCTTTGGCGCTTTGCCATCACTGAATTGTATGATCTTCTGTGTGGTCGGCAGAAATTGACTGCAACCCGTCCATGGGCTCTTCGCTGCTGAGTCTTGTCCCATATTTGATGAACCTGATGATAATTTCATTTTTTGTACTTTTGTAATTAAGTCTGTATATTTAATTTTTTTTTTGTTTTTTTTTTTTAGTTTTAGCGATAATTTAATGCACAAAATTTTTTTAGGAATACACACAATCATATATAATTTTTTACGTTCAATTTTAGTTCAGTTGCATTTTTTTTTTGTATTTTAGCACAAGAGCGCATAGCGTTGATAGCAGTTGATAGCGGTTTCAAAGAGAAAGTGAAAAAGAGCGATACGCATGGGATGAATTACAATGGAAACATCATGCAATTGAGACATTGCATATTTTCAGGCGTTTGTTATTGTTTACAAGCGTTTAGCAACCAGTTTTTTGTTTTTTAGTGCAATAGCAATTACGGTTTTAGTAAATAGCAAAATACGAGTGTTTTATTTTTGGTTTTTCACACATTTTGTGGCATTTTCGGTTTAGTTAAGTTATTGATTTTGGAATTTTCATTTGCCAAGTACATAGAAATAAAAGAAAATAGAAAAAAGAGGATAAACAAAGTGTAGAAACGAAAGAAAGAAGCATACGTGTGAACGTGGTAGGGTAAATTTTGAAAATACTCGCCAATCCAAACATAAAAATGCAAACACACAACAACAAATTAATGCTTTCAATACGAATGTATGAGAGTATGTGTGTTAAGTTAATATGCAAATTTTGCCCGTATAAAAGTTACTGAATAAAAAGTGTATTTACTAAAAAATATTTTAAAATAAATACGGTGAATTGTGGAAAATGCAATTTGAAGGTTTCTAAACCTTTATCTGAACCCAAATAAACAAATAAAAAAAATAAAAGGATAAAATAAAATTAAATAAAAAAAAACTAATTTAATTAAAAAAATTAATAATATAAAATAAAAAAAGAAACAAAAATCAAATAAAATAAGATAAAGATAAAAATTGTATTATAAAAAATTATATTAAATAAAATAATATGGTATAATTAATATAGAAAAAAATTCATTCAATTTAACCTAACCAAATCGAAGTCAAAGAAAAAGGTAAAAAATAGAACAAAAATAAATTAGAAAAAATTTAATTTAATAAAAAAAAATAATTAAATTGAATAACAAATAAGTAAAAATAAAGTAAAATAAAATAACAGAAAATTAAATTAGACAAATTAAAACAAAATAATATAAGGCAAAATAAATTGTAATAAAATAAATCAAAATAAATTTAAAATAAAATGTTAAAAAATAAAAATTTTAATTATAAAATGATTTCCTCATACAATCGTACACTATACTTTAAGTCTATTCAAAATAAGCGCATATTAATGTTTTTAATTAAATAAATAAATGCAAACCCAACATTTAAAGCCGCACAAATTGATGCTACATAAAGCCCATGATGATGTTGTTAGCAATAAACCGTTAAATGTATAATAAACGCTTAGCCAACATTAAAATAGTTAAATACAAATGCAAACCTTCTTTCTCAATGGCATATTCGGCGGAGCCTTGATGGAAATGATTGCGCGTCAATAACAACATGCGACCAACCAAATCTGTTGTTGAAACGCCAGCAGTGCGGCGTACTTCTCTAAAATGAGTAAAAGAAAACGGAAAAAATATTTAAAATAATTTAATATAAGAAATTATTACAACGTAAAAGGCATACTTGTAACGATTGGCAGACTTCACAAGGTGATACGTATCCACGCCTTCAGCAGTCATTGTGATGTCATCTAAAAATCAATAAATCAATAAAAAATAATTAAAAATTTCTTCTTTATAATAAGACAACAAGTGTAATTACTCACCGCCATGCACACAAAAATCACAGTTATATTCATCGAGCACCTCGAGCGTGGTCACATAGGGCGCACCAAGCACCACCTCATCCACCCATTTAATGCCCTTGACCATTTTCACACGTTCCTCTTCCGTAAATACAGGCGGACCTTTGTGTTTTGTGATCTCCTCATCGGTATGTATGCCAACAATGACTTTATCACCAAGTGCTTTGGCTTGTCGCAGGGAATTGGCATGACCGAAATGTACCATGTCATAGCTGCAAGAGAAGAAGAAGAAGAAGAAGAGAGCGTATGTTAGTATGAATTAATGCCGATTTTTAAAACTTAAACAATTTTAATAATTATATTATAAATATTTGCAGGTGCGCTCATGATTTTTTTTTACAGTTATATATAAGTGTGTTTGATTATAATTCACTTCAGTAAATTTTCACACATAATTTATAGTATTTATTAAGTCATACACGTCACATCAATTATGATAAGCGAAAGAGAGCCGGTATTTTAGCAGCGATATCGAACACATTGTGAGTGTATATTAATGTACTCGACTTGTGCTTAGTAATAAAAAAAAAATATTTAAAAGATTCTAATATTTGGAAGTAAAATTTTCTAAAAATTAAAAAAAAAAAATTAGGTATGAATTTGTACACAAAAAACAAAAAAAAAGTTACCAAAAATGTCGTTCTCTCTGGTAAATAGTAAATTTGCGTTTAGATAAGAAACACATAAATAATAATGAAAGACGATTAAAGTGTGGCAAAAATTCTATGATAAAATTTATTTTTCCATTAAATGAGAGATATTGAGTTTTTTAATTAGCAATGGGTATAAAAATTATTAGATATGAGATTGGAACTGGCAAAAAAAATTCAATTTTGGTTATTTAAAGTTAAAAAAAAAAGAAAATATAATTTTCAGTAGTCAAAATTTGCAAAAAAAAAAAAAAAAAAAAATATTTTTAGTAGATAAAACATTTTCAAACAGCAAAACTTGTTCCTACACTAATAATACAACCGTTTTTTTTTTGTTGTATAGTACAACTAAATATTCTTATCATCATTGATATGTATGTATGTATAACATTCTCGCTAGAAGTGGCATGTGAACACGAAGATAATCCTATTAAAACCAACAATTGCGTAGTGAGTAAATTAGTTGCCTCAGCGACTAAATTTAATTAAAAAATTTTGATAAAAGATAAAAAGTTGAAAAGTAATAATTATTTCTTAACAGCTGACAGTAAAAATTCATAAATAATAAATATTTCCAAACACATATTTTACTAAAAGGAAACGTGTTTTTTGCTCGTTGAAAAAAAATTAAAAAAAAAAAACTTTTTTGCTACTTAAAAAGGTGTTTGTAATTGTTATTGTATTATTACTAATGTAATAACCCCCCTGCGGGTTAGGGGCTCAAGAATTTACCCGCGGTAAGGCATGCCTGTCGTAAGAGGCGACTAAAATCCAATAGTTCCCGCGACAGTCGGGTCTTTATACCGGAACGACCCGGATTTTTATCCGGCCAAGGACTGTCACTCCCGCAACATTCCCCAAAAAGGGAATAATTTTGCGGTTACAACAACAACAACAACATTAATTTAAATAACTATATGCCGTGTATACAATAACAATTACAATTTTTATTCTATAACCAGTTGCTACTTCTTACCTTTACCTATATATATACTGGTATATATGTATATACATTTACTATATATGTATGTATGTTGTTACTAATTATAGTTGTGGTAATTTCATGACCTTCCACAGTGTACTAAATGCAATTTTAATTATAAAAGTTCATGAATTTTGCACAATTTTGTGTTAATTACAATTGGCGTAAAAAAAATATAAAAAACTTTTTTTTTTCATTAAAAAAATTAAAAACAAATAAGAAAACCCCCTTAAAACCATAGTGGCAAAATGTCTAATAATAAAAAAAAAACTACGGAATAGATTTACCGCCAAATGTCGAGGTAAACATCACACATCATCATCATCATCAACACACACACACACGCGCACCTGTTAACTTTTGTATGTGCATATGTGTGTAGGTCCGCTCCCCTCGTGTCTTATTATTGTATTATCAAAAACTCATCAACCGTTCATGCCATGCCTTTATGGCAAACGCTTGGTCAGTGGGCCGTTTCTTTCACAACAACACTCCCCACAACCACGCACCTCATACATATGTACATATAGACAACGCGAATAGCTCAGCTGTTGACGCGATTTGTACTTTGTACCCGATCATATGTTGCATTTGGAAAACTTTTTTTTAGTATTTTTTATTTTATTTTACGTACACACAAATGTATACATACTTACTTACATATGTACATATATGTGCGCGAAAACACACAAATGGAAGACCACTAGACAGATTAAAAGCAAAAAAAAAAAAAACAAAAAATGAAAATAAAAATTGCGAAGATAAAGCAAAGCAATGCACAGAGTTTTGTTGTTATTATTTCAACAGGTTTTGCTGAGTATTCATTTTATTTCATAAATCATTTGGTTTTATAAGCACGTTTGACGCATTTTTCACGCGCTCAAAAATGGTATTTTCAAACGAATTCTTTCTGAGAATTTTTGTTTCTTAAAGTTTTTCTATTTGCTGCATAGGCAAAAGTAGAAGAAAGGAAATGAAATTTTAGTGACGTACTTCAGCGTATGAAATGAAAAATAGTACTAAAAACTGTACAAGTATTTTTTTATTTCTATCAATTTCAATATCTTATTTCATTATTTTATTTTATTTTATTTTATTTTATTTTATTTTTTTCTTTATTTTATTTTATTTTATTTTTTTCTTTATTATTTTTTATTTTTGTTGTTTTTACTATATTTATTTATTTTATTTTGTATTTTACTTATTTTATTTTGTTTTGAATTTATTTTATTTTATACTTTAATTTAATTTATTTTTCTTATTTGAATTTAATGTAATTTCTTTATTTTAATGTTTTTAATTTACTTATATGTTTATATATTTTATTAGAGTTTTTATCTCTTATTTTCTTTTAGTTTATTTAATTTAATTTTATTTATTCCAGTTTTTTTTTTTGAAATAAACTTTTTTTATTTTAATTTAATTTAAATTATCTAATGTTTACATACATAAATAAGTAATTGGCATGCCAGTAAGTGTTGAATTTTCAAAACATATAACTGCATTATGATATTACTTGAAATGAGATCATTATTTTATATTTTATTATACCATATGTACGTATATATGTGCAAGCGTTGCTTATCTTTACCGTCCTAAATCGATAAAATCGAGTTTTTGTTTATCAATAATAATATGTTATTGATGATCGGACATACATATAATTTGATAACAGAATCATTTGATAATTTTTTGTATACGTCATCACTTGTCTAGCTATTTAAGCCAGCTGGCAGTCAGTAATGATGATATTCATTTAATTTTTTATTAGAATTATTTATTTTTTTATTAGATTTATTTATTTTTTTGTTTTTTTTTTTTTAATTCATTTCTCTTTATTTGAATTCTTTTCATTTCATTTAATATTACTTTATTCTAAAAATAATATTATTTTGCACTCATTGCAATTTTTTGTCTAAATTAAATATTTATAAAGAAATGTTGCTATGCACAATTTCATGAGTTACTGGCTTTATTTAAATTTTGGAAAACCTGTTAAAATATTGAAAAGTAAATGTTTGTTCATACTGGTGTATGGTTAAAAATAAATGACGCTTCACGATGGAAATAAGAAAAAATAAAATAAATAATTCTAAAAATTATAAGGTATGAAAGTACATAGTACAACCTAACAACTTTCTTTAATTGACTTAAAACAAGCTAAATAAATTATAGGTTTAACGTCTGC